TAAAACCTAATAGCTTACCACGTTGTAAACATAATAGGGATCTCTGGCGCATTCTCATTCAACAAAAGAGGCAAAAGATTTTTATTAGAATTTGAAAGGTTCCACCGATTGTAAACAGAGTAGAAGGGTCGTGATCTTCACCGGTGAGGAGAGACTGAGATAGAAAGAGACGCAGAACGATCGGTTTGTGTTGACGACGTGATCTAGATTCTAGAGAGTTATTCTAGAGCTCTTTCCACAAAACAGTGTATCGATTCTCTCTGTGATAATAAAGAGTATAGATTATTTCTTATCAATTGGTGCGTGAGCTCGGATCGAATAGAACGTGAGCGAATAGTTATGATTGAAGCAATTTGGGGATTTCGTAATTGGAGAAGAAACAGAACGCAATGATGGTGATAGAGATCGGGTTATCACTAGTTCGTGAATTGTCTGCGGCGGAGCAACACGACTCTTCACTGGCCGACGTATAGTTTGTAAACAAAATAAAAGAAATGAAGGTCACTTTAAAAATTCTTTCAAATATCATCATAGGAGGTGTGATTTTCAGGCTATCTATTTTAGTTATAATTTGCTACCCAAATCATCTCAAATCGTTATTAGAACAATTTCATTGTGAATTCTCAATTTTCCAATAACCTGAAATTTGAGAAGATTTTAATAAATGAATAATTGAATAACCTTAGATTTTGAATCATTTAAACAAATACTGAGTTCAATAAGGCAGACTTTTAATGGATTTTGGAAAATCACCAATCCAATATAGAGAGATTGTTTAAAAAATAAAAATCATCCCAAATCATAGATCCAATATCCCCCCCTAAATAACTAATTAATTAGTTCGAATGAGCCCTTTTGTATTAACTTTGTTACCATACATAACAAAACGGAAAAATCACGACCGTTATATGTTAGTTTATCAGTTTTAGTAATATTTCATCGAAGAATTAGAAATAGCTAAAATGAAGAAAATACTAAAATGTAAAGTGTGAAAAGTGAAAACAAAAGAAAAAAGTCTAGTAGGCTTCACTTTTTTAAAATCATATACTCGTAAATCATATATAAATTACATGTTAACTGAAATTTCTCTTGAAAAAACTATATTAAAATTTTAAAAAGAATTAATGAAGAAAAAAATTTCACTTATTTTCTGAAAAAATAACAAAACATGTGAGAGAAAAATTTCAACTTTTCATCCAACTTGAATTTTTGTTTTTTGTTTTTTGCATAAAAATTATCGTAATAGTCATTTTTTTCCAGATCTTTTGGTATATATTAAGATGGGTAAGTAATTAACATCATAACCTCCTTGGCTCCTTGATAGTCTCACTTAGGTCATACAAACACATTTACATATTCTCAGCCTGAGCTGCGCGAAACACTTCCTCATCCTCTCCGCAATTCTCCAAAATTAGGGTTTTCTTCCGGCAGCTCTCTCTCTCTCTCTTCAGGTACTTCCTCTCGCTCTGTCTTGTTTCATCTCATTGCGCCTCTCTTCGTCTCCTTGCTTGAATCTTTTTGGTTGGGGATCCGAATTTTTTTTCTTTTGAAATTGGGGTTTTCCTAAGCTCTTCTTTAGTTTAAAACTGAATCTGCTCCCTCCTTTGTGTTATCTTTGCCAATGACTGCTAAGTGTAGCTGAAACACATTTGATTGATATTACTGTGAGTTTTAGCTCTGTACGGGTATTTGATTGTTGTTCTTGGTTGGTATCATTGTGTTTTATTTGTGTAAATGTCTGAGTAATCAAATAGAATTGTAGTTATAAGCTGAGGATTCTCTTAACAGGTTAGATTGGCAGATCTAACATGGAGCCGGAGTTTTCTAAAGTGGATTATTCAGAGATACTATGTCTTAGCTCTTCTTTTTGCTTATGCTAATCATGACCTTCTTATCTTTTATGTTGCCATGATTTTTAACCTTCTTTGCATCTAACCAAGGCCTATGATATCATGGTTTTTTTTTTTCCGCTCTCAGGGTCATTCGTTTCTTTCTTTTTATTTTGTTTCAACCTGTTGAGCATTCGTTACCCTCTTATTTTGTTTGGGATTCCTTTTTTTGCCGCATTATGGCAGAGCGTCAATTCAAACCTTTTATTCTTCTTTTCTATCGGCCTCTTATTGTTTCTTTTCCAACCTTTCCCCGGTTCTATTCTCTCTCCCCACTTGCTTCTTGCTTCTGTGTCTCCTCCACAGTTGTAGTGCAAGCGTTCTTTTCTAGATACTTAAGATGTCAAGGACGAGGACTGCTGCTTCAGAGGCTCATGATTCAATGGAATCTGAGGAAAGGGTAGACCTTGATGGTGACAATGATCCTGAGGAGATTCTGGAGGAGGAAGTTGAGTACGAAGAAGTTGAAGAGGAGGAGGAAATCGAAGAGATAGAGGAGGAGATAGAAGAGGAGGTTGAAGTGGATGAAGAGGAGGATGATGCTGCTGCAACGGAGGAGGAAGAAGAAAAGAAAAAGCATGTTGAACTCCTTGCACTTCCTCCACATGGTTCAGAGGTTTATCTCGGAGGGATTCCTACTGATGCTACTGAAGGGGACATAAAGGGCTTCTGCCAATCAATAGGAGAAGTTACTGAGGTAACTTGACATTTTTTTTTTATCCCAAACTATTGTTGGTTTTTTTATTTATCTTGTGCTGAGTTTGGTGTGATGTCTCCAGGTGAGGATAATGAGGGAAAAAGAATCTGGTGATGGAAAGGGGTATGCATTTGTGACATTCAGAAACAAGGACTTAGCATCTGAAGCAATCGATAATCTAAATAACACTGAATTCAGAGTAAACTCTTTGGCATCCAATTCTTGATCATTCCATTTTTACTTATAGATCGCTTAGAATTCTTGATGGTGTAGTGTTTCATTATTTCCTGGCTCTTATTTTTTTGTTTACTTAATGTTATTCAATAGGGTAAAAGGATAAAATGTTCGACTACCCAAGCAAAGCATCGTCTCTTTCTCGGTAATGTTCCTAGAAATTGGATGGAGTCAGACATTAAGAAAGCAGCGAATAGGATTGGTCCAGGTGTTCAAATTGTCGAACTCCCAAAGGTTTGTCTCCTGCAACTTGGATAAGTTTCAGCCTATAGTGTCTATATACTTGTATCTACTAGTTTTATATCATAATCATGCTACTATAACTTGCGGAAGTGAATTTTCTGTAGAAATTCAAGACATGCCTTTCTCACTCACTTGATCAGTTTTCTGTTTGATTTTATTTATATCACAGGAACCACAAAATATATGCCGGAATCGTGGTTTTGCTTTCATCGAGTATTACAACCATGCATGTGCTGAGTACTCGAAACAAAAAATGTCAAATCCGAGTTTTAAGCTTGATGACAATGCCCCAACTGTAAGCTGGGCTGAATCAAGGAGTGGAGGAGGAGACTCTTCAGCTTCCCAGGTTTGCTTCATTAGAACCTTCCTTACGAATAAATAATAGAAGCAGCAACAGTTATCTTACCAGCAAAGTGCCACTGCCAAGAAATTATATTTAATAGAGACGTGTTTACATGTGTTCAAATCTTACTATAATATGGTTTGGAATGATTGCAGGTCAAGGCATTGTACATCAAGAACTTGCCTAGAGATATAACCCAAGAACGTCTCAAGGCATTATTTGAACATCACGGGAAAATACTGAAAGTGGTGATCCCACCAGCAAAACCAGGAAAGGAAGATAGTAGATACGGGTTTGTGCACTACGCAGAGAGGACAAGTGTCATGCGAGCTTTGAAAAACACTGAAAGATATGAGATTGATGGTATGTTCCATTCATAATTTTTTTTTCCTGTTTACATCTCCTCCTTTGATGTTTCAGTTCTGAAATCTATCCCCCTATTATACACAGGTCATATGTTAGATTGTACTCTTGCAAAGCCTCAAGCGGATCAAAAGATGAATACAAATTCAGTTCAGAATATGCAGAAATCACAAATGCAACCAAACTATCCTCCTCTTCTTAGTTACGGAATGGCTCCTAGTCCTTTTGGTGCTCTTGGTGGCTTTGGAGCTTCTGCCTACTCACAAGTGAGATTCTACTACTTATCAGTCGAAACGTCATATCTTGACTAAACGTTGTAATAAAGTACTATAATTTTGTGGGAATTATGCAGCCATTAATGCATGCGGGAGGTCACGCAGCTGGTGGAATGTCGATGATGCCAATCATGTTACCGGATGGGAGAATCGGATATGTCTTGTAAGTTCTTGTGTATACTCGTACTGATCTCATGCGTTTGCTATATATAAGACACGTGCACTGATCTGACGTGTTGAATGTAATAGGCAACAACCTGGACTAGGGGCTGTGCCACAACCACCATCAAGGCCTTCTCCACCGTATAGGGGAGGCAGCGGTTCAAGCAGCAGCAGCAGTAGCAAACGAAGTAGCGACAACGGTAGAGGACGAAGCCGTTACAATCCTTATTAGGAATTTGACAATTATGTCTTTGTTTATTTGGGAAAAACACTCTCAAGTCCCAATCAAGTCACCAAAACAAAAAGCCAATTTTAACCATTGTGTTGTCTTCTTTATACCATTTGTTTTGACTTTTTAAGATTTTGAGGGTGGAAATGGGGTTTCGTTTAACTCGTGTTTTGTGTATATTGAATTATTGATGGGTTTTTTACTTTTCTATGAATGTTTTTTTTCTAAAGCATTTGTTAATTTATGTCCTTTTTTATCCTGTTTATTCATGTCTGGAACAGGCTTACTAGTTACTAATTGATAAGTATGAAAAGCCCACTTAATTGCCCAAACTGGTGTCGTTTAAAATTAGCATAATCACTGACACGTCATCATCCACCGAATGATCAATAACCCTACCGGCCGACTGCTCAGTGCTGCATCCTCAACCGCCGTGTAATCTCGACTCTCGCTATTGTTGAGCTTCAATCTCTTCAATTTTTTTTGCGTTTGCGTTTAGAGCGTTTGAAATACCAGTACAGTATAACACTTGAAAGAACGTCACTGCTATCTCTATTAACAACAACGAGAAATCGACGTGTTATGAATAAAGATAGGTTGGATCAGTTGCCTGAAGCTTTGATTATACGGATATTGTGTTTTCTTTCTACAAGAACTGCCATAGCCACGAGTGTTTTGTCTAAGCAATGGCGGTCTCTTTGGAAGTGGGTGCCGAATCTAGAGTTCGACTCTGATGATCACAAAAGTGATCACCAAACATTTTCAGAGGGTGTTACCAGGTCTTTCCTTTCACATAGAGCTCTGGTTCTAGAGAGTTTGCATCTCAGATTTAGTTTAGATGAAGTTACCCCTTTAGATATTGGACTTTGGGTTGGAATCGCATTTACTCGACATTTGCGTGAATTGGTACTCACTGTTAGCCCTGGGGATGAGACCTTCACATCTCCGAGTAGCTTGTGTACTTGCAACACGCTTCAGACTTTGAAACTCTTATTTTGTATCCTTGTAGATATACCTTATCCGGTTCTTATGAAGTCTCTTAGAACCCTGCACCTTGAGTTCGTGAGCTTCAAAGACGATGAATCTTTTCCTAACCTGTTGTCTGGTTGCCCTATTCTTGAAAATTTGTTTGTGGATCGAAGTGAGTTTGATGGTGATGATGTTACTTTCTCTGTTGAGGTCCCGTCTTTGAAGAGACTTGAGATTTTTAATGATAACGATGGCCAAGGGTTTAGAAGATATACAATTAGTGTTCCTTCTTTGATATACTTGACACTCCAAGAGTACAAAGATTTTGAGCTTTGTCTGAATGCGCCAGAGCTGGTGGAGGCATATGTTTCTGGAGGTTCTTATATAATCACCGATAAGTTTCTTGGATCACTAAAGTCAGCCAAACATCTTTCTTTGGATTTATCACCCTTGCAGGTAAACTATACGGGTTTCTATCGCTATTGAGTTTTTGGTTATCTCATTGTTATTGCAAGATGTATACACCAATAACTGTTTCATGCACAGATTGTGTACCCTACTGGTAGTATCTTCAATCAACTGGTATGTCTAGAGATGCATACACGTAAAAAAGAGTGTTGGAATCTACTTACAATCATGCTCGATAGCTCGCCTAAACTACAAGTCCTCAGGCTCATTGATGTAAGACATTTCATTATTCTCCAGCTGTAGCTAATTTTGATGGTCTCTCTTTGGGGGTATTGATATGCGTCTTATTCTTCTTATCTCGTTTGTCTCACCAGAATATGAATAAAAATGATTTGGCCGGCGGGAAATGGAATGAGCCAAAGTATGTCCCTGAATGCTTGTTGTCTCACCTCGAGACATTCGTGTGGGAAGAATATGCTTGGGATAGACAAGAAGAGCAAGAAGTGGCTGCGTACATTCTACGGAACGCAAAACAGTTGAAGAAGGCAACTATCTCCACAAATCCTATCGCAGTGAACGACCTCAAGAAGTTGGAAGGGAGACGTAAGATGCTAAAGGAGTTGGCTAGTGTGGTCAGGGCTTCCAATTCTTGCCAAATTGCTTTCGGATACGAATGTTATATGTAAACTCTTCATAGAGGGAACCTGTTGGCTTAACCGGTTATGGGGATTTACATGGGTTTTGGATCTCGGGGATGGTTCTACATTTGGCCATTGGATATTGAAAATTGAAAATTTTCTGAATTCCTTTTATCTAATCCCTTAGACCAACATTATTGGTTAGATCTTAGAATAAGATATGTGAAGGAAAAGATCTTGTGGCCTAAGATCTAACCAATAATGTTGCTCTTATGAGTGATCTATACAACAACAACCATCTCAGGCTTTTCTTCATTTATTAATTAAGTAAACCGGTCGGGTACGCTTCGATTTTAATTTAAAACCGGTTTTGAATTAAAAAGCCCTAGTCTCCTTCAGTTGACGAGCTTCAGTGCTTTGCTTGCGTTAAGAGCGATTGAAGTGCGATTTTCGCATCGGGGAACAGCAAAAACCTGAAGGAAAATGGAACAAGAACAACGGTAAGTTTCGTTTATGTTTAGAGCATTTGAATTCCGATGTATAGTGCTCTAAATGTTGATTCTTTGGTTTTGGCTGTGAAGAAATCGAGGTATTGTGAATGAAGAGGATATGATGAATCTGTTGCCCGAAGCTTTGATTCTTAGGATTTTGTGTTTTCTTCCCACAAAAACTGTAGTAGCCACGAGTGTTTTGTCTAAACAATGGCGGTCTCTTTGGAAATTGGTGCCAAATCTAGAGTTCAATTCTGAGGATTGCGAAAGTGAACACCTTTCATTTTCAGAGATTGTTTGCAAGTCTTTCCTTTCCCATAAAGCTCCGGTTCTAGAGAGTTTCCGTCTCCTCTTTGGATCAGATAGCGTTAATTTCGTAGATGTTGGACTTTGGGTTGGCATTGCGTTTGCTCGTCATTTGCGTGAATTGGTGCTCGATTTTTATCCTGCTGGGCAAGAGACCTTCACATTTCCGAGTAGCTTGTGTACTTGTAACACACTTGAGAGTTTGAAACTCGTACTTGGTATTTTTGTAGATATACCTTCTCCGGTTCTTATCAAGTCTCTTAGAACCCTGCACCTCGAGTTTGTGAGCTTCAAAGACGATGCATCTGTCCGTAACCTTTTATCTAGCTGCCCTAGTCTTGAACAATTGGATGTGTATCGAGGTGACGATTCTGATGTTGAGATTTTCAGTATTGAGGTCCCTTCTTTGCTGAGATTAACGATTCATGATACCAATGATGGACCAGAGTTTTGGGGATATTTGATCAATGCTCCTTGTTTGAAATACTTACAAATTGAAGACTTAAGATGTCCAGGGTTTTCTATGAATGCGCCTGAGCTGGTGGAGGCAAGTTTCGTTGAAGCTGTATCTATTAACAATGAGAAGCTTCTTGGATCTCTCACTTCAGTCAAACGTCTTCTATTGCATTTATCACCCTTGAGGGTAATTTTGCTGATATTTTTTTTTATTTTTTATAATAATCTTCAGTTGAGTTCTTTGTTATCACATTGTTTCTATACTCTAAAAATTGGTCTCATGAATAGATTGCATATCCTACTGGAACTATCTTCTATCAGCTGGTATCTCTAGAGATGTACACACGTATAGCAGAGTGGTGGAATCTACTCACGCGCATGCTCGAAAATTCTCCTAAACTACAAGTCCTCAAGGTCACTGATGTAAGACATTTCATTATTAGGCAGCTTGCTATCTTTGTATGATATCTCTTTGGGGTTTTATTTTATGGTCTAGTGATGCTATACATTGAATTTTCTACATGTCGCTTTGGTCTCAGAAATATCATCATGTTCGTAGTGATAGTTTGGTCGGTGGCAAATGGAATGAGCCGAAGGATATCCCTGAATGTTTGTTGTCACATTTGGAGACATTTGTGTGGAAAAGATTTAATTGGGGTAGAGAAGAAGAGAAAGAAATAGCTACGTACATTCAAAAGAACGCAAGACAATTGAAGAAGGCAACTTTCTCAACAAATCCCATTGAATCGAAAGAGATCAACAAGGTGAAAGAGAGACGTAAGGTGCTTGACGAATTGGATGGTGTGGTCAGGGCTTCAAATTCATGCCACCTTGTGTTTAAATTCGATTCACCTTCTTATCTATCAGACTCTTCTTAGCTTTGATACTGCATATATTGTCTTTACTTGCAACAAAACGTGTCATAGCCACGAGTATTTTGTCTAAACAATGGCAATCTCTTCGAAGATGGTGCCGAAACTTTCATTATACACATCAATTTTCAGAGAATCTTGGCAAGTCTTTTTTGTTCCGCACAAAGCTCCGGTTTTGGAGAGTTGTCATCTCAGAGTTAGTGATATATTGCATTTGAACAACGTCTTTCAGATTTCCAAGTAGCATGTTTAGCTTTAGTAATACACTTAAGAGTTAAGACCTTGATTCTCAGGTATTCAGTTTGTATCAAGTCCCTCAGAACTTTGGTCCTCTACCCTGTGGAATTCAAAGACAGTGAATCTATTCGTAAAATAATATTTACTCCATCACTTAAAGTCTTAAACAAAAATTAATCAATACGATTCTTTGTGATCTTAAATTGACAAAAAAAATAAAAATAAAATTTCTATTGATCACCTTCGCTATATATAAAAAAAAAAAAAACCTAAAGACCCGCCGCTCAGTTATGCATCCTTGACAGGCGTCTACTCTAAGTCACAGTTGGTGAGCTTCACGCCCGTGTACTTGTAGCGTTTTTGCGTTTTAGAGTGTTTGAAATGCGTTAATAGCACTGTAAAGGCACAAATCGAACGCAATTTTGCTGTCTAACGACAATGGAACAAGAACGGTAAGTTTCGTATATGTTTTAGAGCATTTGAGATCTTATATCTGACTAACTAAATATTAATAGTTTCTACTTTGATTCTTGGCTGTGAAAAAGTTTGAGAAATCGAGGTATTATGAAGGAGGATAGGATGAATCAGTTGCCTGAAGAGTTGCTTCTACATATATTGTCTTTACTTCCAACAGAAACTGTTGTAACCACGAGTGTTTTGTCTAAACGATGGCGGTCTCTTTGGAAGTTGGTGCCAAATCTTGAGTTTGATTCTGATCACCACCATACATTTTCAGAGAATGTTTGCAAGTTTTTTCTTTCACATAAAGCTCCTGTTCTAAAGAGTTTGCATCTCAAATTTGGATTACATGAAGTTAATCCTGTAGATGTTGGAATTTGGGTTGGAATTGCGTTTGCTCGAAATTTGCGTGAATTAGTACTCCATTGTCTTCCTCATCCAGAAACATTCACATTTCCGAGTAGCTTGTGTACTTGTAACACACTTGAGACTTTGGAACTCAAGTTTTTTCTTGTTGATATCACTTCTCCGGTTCTTATGAAGTCTCTTAGAACTCTACGCCTTCAATTTTTGGGCTTCAGGGGGGATGAATCTATATGTAACCTTTTATCTGGCTGCCCTGTTCTTGAAGATTTGGTTGTGGATCGATGTGGCTATTGTCACGATGTTGTGACTTTCACTATTTCGGTCCCATCTTTGCAGAGACTATGGATTCATGAAGACAATCATGGAGAAGGGATTAGAGGATATATGATCAATGTTCCCTCTTTGAAATTCTTGGAAATTATAGGACTAAAAGGTTTTGACTTATGTCTAAATGCGCCGGAGCTGGTGGAGGCATATTTTTTTGAAGGTTCTTCTTATATAATCAGTGAGAAGTTTCTTGGATCTCTTAAGTCAGCCAGACATCTTTCCTTGGATCTATCACCACCCTTGGAGGTAACTTTTCAGGTTTTTATCGCGGTTTAGATACTTCTTTTTTTGTTTGTTAATAATCACAATGTTTAAATATATATGTGCCTAGTTGCAATTGAATTAGATGTTATCACATTGTTTCTATATACTATTGTTTCATGGATAGATTGCATATCCTACTAGAAGTAACTTCGATCAGCTGATATCTCTAGAGATTGGTACACGTAAAGCAGAGTGGTGGAATCTACTTACCCTCATGCTCGAAATTTCTCCTAAACTACAAGTCCTCAAGCTCACTGATGTAAGACATTTCATAAGCAGTTAGCTAGCTACTTTTGGATGGTCTCTCTTTCGGGTTTCTAACTTTGGTGTTCTATGCCTAATGCATTAATTTTCATTTTGCCTCAGGAATATCTGAATTTTAGAAAAGATGGTTTGGTGGGCGGAAAATGGAATGAACCAAAGTATGTTCCTGAATGTTTGTTGTCTCACCTCGAGAAATTTGTGTGGATAAGGTACATTTGGGAAAGAGAAGAAGAGAAAGAAGTGGCTACATACATTCTAAAGAACGCAAGACGATTGAAGAAGGCAACTATCTCCACAAATTCCATTGAATCGAATGAGTTCAACAAGTTAGAAAGAAGGCTTAATAGGCTCAAAGAATTGGATGGTGTGGTCAGAGCTTCAAGTTCTTGCCACCTTTTGTTCGAGTTTGATTCATCTTGTAGTATTCATTTTTAGACTCTTCTATCACATAAAGCATGTTAGCTAGTTTGGCCAGTTAGAGAGATTTGCATTGGATTTGGATATCGAGGATGGTTCTACTTATATATATCCTGGGTTTTATCTATCACTATGATGATACAATCTTGGTTGTTTTGTGATTTTGAGGAAAGCTTGGCTACTTCAATTCAAACAAGATTTCCTGTCAAGGTAATAAGGTATAGTCTAAAATGTTCTGTCTGAAGCTGACCATTCGTTTTTGAACGAAACAAATTGGGTTTTTAATAACCAACCCAAAAGCAACGACGGGATTTTATAATATGACGATTCACTTTCAGCATAACCGACCAAAACCGGTTTAAACTAAAAAGCCCTAGTTTTCTCTGTTCGTTCGATCTCGTATCCTTAAATTGTTGTCCACGTTCCCCAAATCTCGTTCTTCTCTAATCATCCTTTTTTCTTTTTTTTTTTTTTTTTTTTTAAACGTCTCACAGTTTTAGTGTTAACCATCTTCCAAGATCAGTGCGTTAAAGTCTCTGTTTGCATTAGTTGTGTTGCGTTTTGTAATACGATAGCTCTTGGAAGTTGGGAAGGCATATCAATCTGAAGGATCTAACAGCAACGCAATTGTTGTAGAAGATGGATCAATGGTTTGTTTCTTTTTTTTTTCCTTCATGTTTTTTTTCTCTGCATCCTTCATGAAACTATTCTTAACCGTAAGCTCTCACCCCTAACTTTTAATATTTTATTCTTTCATCTTTAGTAGCGAAAGTTTGGGAAACCGAGGTTTTGCGAGTGAGGACAGGATCAGTGAGTTGCCTGAGGCTTTGCTTCTACAGCTGTTATCTTCACTTCCGACAAAAATTGTCATAGCCACAAGTGTTCTGTCTAAAAGATGGCGATCTCTTTGGAAATTGGTACCAAAACTCGAGTTTATATATAATGAATCTGAAGGAAACATACAGAAATTTTCAGAAAACGTTGGCAGGTCTTTGCTTTCACATAAAGCCCTATTTCTAGAGAGTTTTCATCTGAAAGTAGTTGGAGGCCAATGTGATGATGTGTATATTGGAATGTGGGCTGGAATTGCATTTGCACGCCATGTGCGTGAGTTCGTACTCGATCTTGAACGCTTCTATGGCAAGCCAGTCAGTTTTCCGAGTAGTTTGTTTTGCTTTGATAAAGTTGAGACCTTGAAACTCAAGAGTTACATTCTTCTTGATGTTCCTTCTCCGGTTTCTATGAAGTCCCTCAGAACTCTTCACCTTGAATCTGTAGTGTACAAAGACGATAAATCTGTTAGGAACCTTTTTTCTAGCTGCCCTAATCTTGAAGATTTGGTGATGCATCACGGAAGTTATTTAAGGATGTAGTGGATTTCATAATTGAGGCGCCTTCTTTGAAGACATTATCGATTCGTGATCCCACAAGTGGACGAGAGACTGGGGGATATGCGATAAACGCTCCTTCTTTGAGATACTTGGAAATTGATTGTTTAAGAGGTTATCAGTTTTGTCTGATTCAGAATGCATCCGAGCTAGTTGAGGCGAATATTAAAAACGTTTCCTATGTAGTCAATGACAATATTCTTGAATCTCTTAGGTCAGCCAAACTTCTTTCCTTGGACTTATCACCTTTGGAGGTAACTTTACTCAGCACTTGACTTATGTATTTATTGTTTTCTACTATACTCTAATAATTGTCTCATGAATAGATTACATATCCTACTGGAGGTATCTTCCATCGGCTGGTATATCTAGAGATTTATACACATAAAGCGGAGTGGTGGAATCTACTTACGCTCATGCTCGAAAGCTCTCCTAAACTACAAGTCCTCAATCTCGTTGATGTAAGATATTTGATCATTCATTCAGCTAGCTTTTGTTGATGGTCTCTCATTGGGGTTAAGTATATAACATTTCATTCTTCCTAATTTTCCTCATGTTGGTATCATATCAGCATATTCAGGATGTTGATAAACAATTGATGGATGGGGGGAAATGGGAGCAACCAAAGTATGTCTCTGAATGTTTGTTGTCCCACCTCGAGATTTTTGTGTGGACAATATATGATTGCGATAGAGAAGAAGAGAAAGAAGTTGCTAAGTACATTTTAAGGAGTGCAAGACGTTTGAAGACGGCAACTTTCTCCACAGGACCCATTGGACCCAAAAAGAGGCTCGTGATGCTCAACGAGTTGAAAGGTGTGGTCAAGGCTTCAAATTCATGCCACCTTGTGTTTGAATGATCTTTTTTTTTTTATGTATTAGACTCTTCTTGTCACATTGAACTTTAGTTTAATGATACGTTGTTACTTTTAAGTTCTTTTTAAACCAGATTTATTCTCCATTTGGAATTTTGAATCTACCAAAGATTTAAAAGATATGATAAAGCTTACGAAGATAAAAAGTTTGTATTTAGATAACTCGGTCGCTGAATTTTTAACCGGAAGAAAAATCTTATCCATTGGATGAAAAAAGACAAAAAAATATCAACCGTTGGATGGGTTTTTCTTTCTTGTAAAAAAAAAAAAAAAAGATAGACATAAATAAACGAGTGCTTCCTATTATTTATTCGGCAACAGTTTTTTTTTCTCTCCGTCACGGTTTTAATTTTGGCTGATGACTACTGACTAGTCGATCCTTTTATTCTACAATCACAAGTCTAATCATAATAGCTAGGTTAGTTTTAAACCGGTTTCGACTTGTGAAGCGGCCAGCGGTAATTAATTGGTTCTTCTTTTATTGTTATGTAACTGCGTATCGATTTTGATACGATAGCATTGACAAGGCATAAATCTTCTAAGGATTTTTTCCAAATTGTTGTCCCTATCAACGATAATGGAACAATGGTATATTTCTATGTATTTGTCATGTTCTTTTATCCTTCTCGTATTATATACATAGTTTTGTAATTACAAGCTCCAAAACCCTAACTCTGTTCCAACTGTTGTTTTGGCTATGAAAGTTTGAGAAAGCAAGGTGTCGTGAATCGGGACAGGATCAGTCAGTTTCCTGAAGCTTTGCTTCTACAGATATTGTCTAGGCTTCCAACAAAAGATGCCATAGCCACGAGTGTTTTGTCTAAGCGATGGCGATCTATTTGGAAGATGGTGCCGAGGCTCGAGTTTAACTCTCACTATCAGAACCTGCATAAATTTTCAGAGAATGTCGCCAGGTCTTTGCTTTTACACAAAGCTCCGATTTTGGAGAGTTTGCATATCAAAGTTACTGATAGACTTGAAGGAAGAAGTGAAAGTGATATATATATCGGAATATGGAGTGGAATTGCCTTTGCACGGCATGTGCGTGAGTTCGTGCTCCATCTCTTCTTTAAAAGACCCGTAAGATTTCCGAGTAGCATGTTTAACTCTAATAATACACTTGAGACCTTGAAACTCAAGTGTTCTGTTCGTCTCGATGTTCCTTCTCGATTTTGTATGAAGTCCCTCAGAACTCTTCACCTTCTTTCTGTGGATTTTATAGACAACAAGTCTATCCGCTACCTTATATCTGGCTGTCCTAATCTCGAAAATTTGGTCATAGATCGAGGTTACCCTAATGTTGTGCGGACATTCGTTATCTTGGCACCGTCCTTGAAGACACTATCAATCAAAGATTACGGTCGACTAGAGGATGGGGGATATGTGATCACTGCTCCTTCTTTGAGATACTTGAAAATTAAAGAGTTTAGTCATTGCGGTTGTTGTTTGATTGATAATGCGCCAATGTTAGTGGAGGCAAATATTGGAAACGTTTCCTATTTAGCCAATGAGACAATTCTTGGATCGCTCAAGTCAGCCAAACGTCTTTTCTTAGACTTATCACCGTTAGAGGTACTTTGCTTATTGCAACTTAGTTGTTGTTTGTTATCACAGTATTTATGTAGTAATGGTAATGTGATCTTTATGCATAGATTACATATCCTACTGGAACTATCTTCTATCAGCTAGTAAATCTAGAGATGGATACACGTAAAGCTGAGTGGTCGAATCTACTTGCGCTCATGCTCGAAAGCTCTCCTAAACTACAAGTCCTTAAGCTCACTGATGTAAGATTTGTACTTATTAGTCAGCTAGCTAGGTTTTTTAATGACCGATCTCTTTAATTGACATTAATTTTGTTTTGTGTTTGGTCTCACTAGCAACCTCTGGATTTAAACAAAGTTGGTGTGATCGGCGGGAAATGGAATCAACCCAAGAATGTTCCCGAGTGTTTGTTGTCTCACCTCAAGAAGTTTGTGTGGAAAGGATACGATTGGGAAAGAGGAGAAGAGAAAGAGGTGGCTACATACATTCTAAAGAAAGCTAGCCAATTGAAGAATGCAATTTTCTTCACTAGTTCCATTCAATCCAAAGAGCTTAACAGGTTGGAAGAGAGATGTCAGATGATTAAGGAGTTAGATGGTGTGGTTAGGGCCTCAAGTTCATGTCACCTTGAGTTCGTCGAATGGTAGATACATATATAGAGCTTTAATTTAATTAATGCTTATACTAAATTAAATGGTTTTTTTTTTAGTTTTAATGCAAGAAGTATATTTCTTGATAGCTTTAGGAGTGAAATTTAGTCATGGATTTAATAGAACTGAAATCCAACGTTAATCCACTATTATTCAATTAATGATTATAAATCATGCTTTAAAATATGGTGTTATTAAAGGGGATTGGTTTGAAACAATTAATTTCATTTATTATTAAGTTCAAAAACCGGATTCCAATTTGGGATGTGAGATGGCATGTTAATTTGGACAAAATCTCGAAGCTTTGGTCCAACCTGTTGTTAAAGTTTGACCAAAAATCTGAAAGTGTGTCGGTTTAACAAAAAAAAAAGGTAACACTATTTATTTGCTAAGCATTCGGCAACAGTTGTTCCGGGTTCTCTCCTTTCATGTTACAAACTAACCACAAGTGTAATCATATATAGCTTAGGTTAAAGCTCGGATATTTTTTTTTTTTTTTTTTTTAATTGTTAGACTGCGGTTGCCTTTGGAGCCTTTGGAGCGTTGGAGGATTATTGTTGATGCGATAGCATTGGGAAGGCATAAATTCACTGATACTACCAAATTCTCTTGCACGTATCAACGACAATGGAACAATGGTATATATATATATATATTTCTCTGTTTCCGTTATGTTCTAATTAGATGCGTAACGCATCGTTCTATGTAGTTTCGTTACTACAAGCTCCAAACCCTAACTCTTAATTAATCTTTTCCTTCCTACTTTTTTTTTGGTTGTGAATTAAAGTTTGAGAAAGAGAGGTGTTGTGAATCGGGACAGGATCAGTGAGTTGCCTGAAGATTTGCTTCTACATATATTGTCTAAACTTCCAACGAAAGATGTCATAGCCACGAGTGTTTTGTCTAAACAATGGCGATTTCTTTGGACGGTGGTGCCGAGGCTCGAGTTTGTATCTCCCAGTAAGAATTTTGCACAGAATGTTGGCAGGTGTTTGCTTTCACATAAAGCTCCGGTTCTAGAAAGTTTGCATATGATGGTTGAAGATACATGTGATGAACAATATATTGGAGATATTGGAGCATGGGTTGGAATTGCATTTGCACACCACGTGCGTGAGTTCGTACTCGATGTTCTTCTTTACTATGGTCAGAAAGTCCAATTTCTGAGTAGCTTGTTTTGCTGCGATACACTTGAGACCTTGAAGCTCAAGAATTGGATTCATCTAGATGTTTCCTTTCCGGTTTCTATGAAGTCCCTTAAAACACTGCACCTTGAATCTGTGACGTACAAAGACGATGAATCCATTTGTAATCTTTTATCTGGCTGCCCTAATCTTGAAGACTTGCTCGTGCACCGATGTCGTTACCCTAATTATGTAATGAATTTTGTTATCGTGTCACCATCTTTGAAGAGACTAACGATCAAAGATCGCACTGATGGACGGGCCGGGGGATATGTAGTAAACGCTCCTTCTCTAAAATACTTGACAATTGAAACGTTACAAGGTTATGAGAATTGTATGATTGAGAATGCGCCAGAACTAGTTGAGGCAAATATTAGAAACATTTCTAAGATAGTCAATGAGAAGATTATGGGATCTCTCAAGTCAGTCAAACGCCTTTCCTTGGACATATCACCCTTGGAGGTAACTTTTCTGATCGAAATGGAGATATCTGCTTTGACAATGTTTCTGTACAAATAATTATGTGGTCTTTATGCATAGATTAAGTGTCCTACTAGTAGCATCTTCTATCAGCTGTTATACCTAGAGATGCATACCCATAGAGTGGAGTGGTGGAATCTACTGACCCTTATGCTCGAGAGCTCTCCTAAACTGCAAGTCCTCAAGCTCATTCATGTAAGATATTTCATTTTATCTATATCCTATTTTCTGACTGTCTCTCTTTGGGGTTAGTTTTAAAGGTCTAATATGCATGTCATTCCCCTTTTCCTAGTGTTGGTCTCATCAGGAATATTCGCATTATTATCGTATGCGTTATTGGCGGACCGGTGAGAAATGGAGTGAACCAAAGTATGTTCCTCAATGTTTGTTGTCCCATCTCGAGACATTTGTATGGACAAGATACGATTCAAGAAAAGAAGAGGAGAAAGAAGTAGCAACTTACATTCTAAGGAACGCAATACAGTTGAAGAAGGCATCTTTCTCCGCTAGACCCATTGAAGACTTAAACGAGATGGACGAGAGACTTGAGATGCTTGAGGGGTTGAATGGAGTAGTCAGGGCTTCAAATTCATGTCACCTTGTGCTTGAATTGGAATGATCTTTATATATATATATATATATTTGAATTTTGTTGTCACATGGATATTTTACTATATGCTATTAGGTTACGTGTAACAGGGTTTATATTCGGTTTTGAAATCCAAGTATGTTGCTATGTCTGGCCGTTGGGAGATGAAAATTATGAATTATATGCATCATTATCTTGGGTTTTAAGGACGAGTACTAATGCTTATGATTCAATTAGTATGAATATAAATTGGTGAAAAAGATGTATTAGAAGAGAATAAAACGAGCAGAGCTATATATATAGAGAGAAGAAGAAGAAGGAGAACTGAGATTTGAGAACAAGCGTTCAATAAGATCGCACGAAAACTAAGCTAGCTCTTTTTGTCATCCTCTGTTACAAGTAACACTACAAGATCGCTATTGGATCATTGGTTCTGAGTATAAGAATTATAATAAACAGTTACATATCATCAAAATAAACTTTAAACTCTGAAGTGAATTTGGCAATGATATGTTTTCAATAACTTGCAGGGGAATTACAAGGTACTGTAATTACCTTGGCGACTTGATACTTGCTCTATCTTTCCGTTTTTGCTGTGGAATAAGGTAAACTTCTTCTGCTTATGTTGTAGTACCAATATTTAAGTCGAAGATGTTTAATCCCAAACACCGATTTGACAAGAGAGATGTTGATAAGGCTGATATAATTGATCGATAGTGTTTTAGATTTTCGTACTTTTAAGTGCACCATTTGAACTTTCCAAAGCTTTTCATTTCATTGTTTTATGATCATTGAAGCTCTGGGCTGTTTTATGATTTTTCATGTCTATTCTTTAGTTCTCCAATTCTATATCTTCTGATACTGTTGATATGGGGAGAACGAAGAGTCAAAGTTCAGTGTGCAGAAGAGTACAAGGAGATCTGAGCAGAGTACCTTAGACTTGTCTCCTGAAGACTTCCTTATACTTGCTGAATGTGTGTATATTAATATACAGAATATGGAAAAGAATCGCAATATAGAATATGAACATTTTTCTAAATAGTTTTTTCCTCTGTACTCTCTATTAAGAACCGTAGAATGTGATTGATTTCCTATATGCTATTTTACAAAAAAAAATAAAACTGCTAATTTCTGCAACCTCTAATTCTATTTTACCTTAATGTTCTAAATAGTTTTTTCGTCTGGCTTCTCTCGAATCGCCGATTACAAATTAATCACAGAAGTGTAATCAAATTTTGCGTTTAGAGCGTTTTTGACACTGGAACGACATAAAATCTGAAAGAGGTTTTTGGCAATTGTCGTCTCTTCTCTATAAACGACAATGAAACGATGGTACGTTTCTGTGTTTCGTTACAAATCGTTCTATCTGGTTTCTTTCACTGCAAGCAAACTCTAAACCCTAATTCTTAATCTTTGTCTTCGGTTTTGTTGGTGATAGTTTGAGAAGTCAAGTTGTTATGGGTAAAGACAGGATCAGTCAGTTGCCTGAAGAGTTGCTTCTAAAGATACTGTCTTCACTCGCTACAAAAACTGTCATAGCCACAAGTGTTTTGTCTAAACGATGGCGGTCTCTTTGGAAGTTGGTACCGAAACTAGAGTTCGAATATGATGAGAATCGGAGTACCGCAGAGAATATTGGCAGGTCTTTGCTTTTACATAAAGCTCCAGTTCTAGAGAGTTTGCGTCTCACAGGTTTATGTGAGGATATAGATGTTGGACTATGGGCTGGAATTTCATTTGCACGCAATGTGCGTGAGTTCGTACTCCAAGCTTCGGTTTCCAATTTGCTACCAGTCCGATTTCCAAGTAGCTTGTTTTTCTGCGATACACTACAGACCTTGAAACTCAAGAATCCTCCGATTGAAATACATGTTCCTTCTCCTGTTTCTATGAAGTCTCTTAGAACTCTTCACCTTGACTCTGTGACGTACAAAGACAACACATCCCTTCGTAACCTTTTATCCGGCTGCCCTAATCTTGAAGAATTGCTTGTGCATCGAGGTCCCCCTAATTGTGTAATGAAATTTACTATTATGGTGCCATCTTTGAAGAGACTATCGATTAAAGATTGCACTAGTCGATGGAAAGGGGGATATGTGATAAACGCTCCATCTTTGAAATACTTGCAAATTGAAAGGTTAAAAGGTTGTGTGAGTTGTCTGATTGAGGATGCGCCTGAGCTAGTTGAGGCAAATATTAGAAACATTTCTAACATTTTGGGATCTCTCAAGTCAGCCAAGCGTCTTTCCTTGGACGTATGGCCTGTGACTGTAACAAATATATATGCTTGCAATTTGACTTATTCGTTGTTTATGTAGCTTTAATAATATGATCTTAATTTATGCACAGATTGATTATTATCATGCCGGAGCTATATTCTATCAGCTGGTATATCTAGAGATGAATACACATAAAGCTGGGTGGTGGAATCTACTTACGACCATGCTCAATAGCTCTCCTAAACTACAAGTCCTCAAAGCTCATTGATGTAAGTTATTTCACTATATATTAGTACTCTGGCTAGATTTATTGGAAGGTCTAATAGTAATTATACACTATTGCATTCCCCCTTTGCTTTGCCTCATTAGCAAAAGCAGGATTTTAGTATAGATGATGTGGTTGGCGAGAGATGGAAAAGGCCAGGGCGTGTTCCTGAATGTTTACTGTCACAGACATTTGTGTGGAAAAAATATGATTTGAGAAGAGGAAAAGGGATAATGGTGGCTAAGTACATTCTAAGGAACGCAAGTTGTTTGAAGAAGGCAACTTTCTCCACAAGACCCATTGAATCCAACGAGAAGCTTGAAATACTCAACGAGATGAATGGTATGGTCAAGGCTTCAAAATCATGCCACCTCGACCTTGTGTTTGAATAATCTTATTTGTTACGTTGTATTTGACTATGTAATTTGAGAATTTTACTTTTATTCTTATTTTTACTGGCATCGGTATCAAAAAATTTGGGATTATTATTCAAATTAAATATTGCTGAGTGCGTGTGTATTGGAGTATTTGACCAAAATGGAAAAGAATCACAATATATAGAATGTGAACATAAACTTTTTCATAGGGAAAAATCCAATAAAAATTCTCAATCTAATTTTAATTTGGAAGTTGAATAGAAATAAAATGGATGGTTTATTAAATTGTTGTCTATTAATACATTAAATATATAAATATTGTCGAATCAAACAAACCGTTTAACAAACAATAATCGGATTAACGGAATCACTAAACTGGGATTAATGGAATTACACTAAACTTATGGTTTATTGATACCAATTCGATTTGGGGGTAATAGCAAAGGACATTGTCATCTTTTGATAACCCCAAATTACTCATGTGCTTAGGGATTAGTGATTCTGTCAATCCGATTAACGTATGTTGAACGGTTTATTCGATTCGACAATTTTTATATATTTAATGTATTAATAGACAACAATTTAATAAACCATGCATTTTATTTCTAATCAAATAACATTGAGTATTAAACTTCCAAATTAGAATTAGATTATTTTTTTTTAATGAATTTTTCCCTTTTTCCTATTAAAAAAAAAAAAGGAAAAAAAAGAAACTGCCGATGTGATATATGACCGTAAGCCCTAAAACTATTTTTTGCTAAATTTTCTAATATTCGTCTTTCTTGCATTGGGCAACACTCTCTAATCGCCGATCTGCTAACAAATCAATCACAAAAGTGTAACAAAAATATCTATCTAGCTTAAGCCAGATTCGAGTGGGGAATTGGATCTCTTGAATATTGCTAGACTGCGTTTGCGTTTGGAGCGTTTTCCACACTGGGGAGGCAAAATTCTGAAAGAGGTTTTACTAAATTGTCGTCTCTTCTCTATCCAAGACAATGGAACAATGGTATGTTTCTCTGTTTCGGCACAAATCGTTCTATATATACAGTTTCTTGAACTACAAGCAAACTATAAACCCTAATTCTTAATCTTTGTTTTCTTTTTGTTTTGTTGGTGATAGTTTGAGAATTCGAGTTGTTATGGGTTTAGACAGGATCAGTGAGTTTCCTGAAGAGTTGCTTCTAAAGATATTGTCTTTTCTTCCAACAAAAGATGTCATAGCCACGACTGTATTGTCGAAACGATGGAGGTCTCTTTGGAAGTTGGTACCAAAGCTCGAGTTCGAATCTGAGAATGAGGAGGATATAGCTAAATTTGCAGAGAAAGTTGGCAGGTGTTTGCTTTCACACAAAGCTCCGGTTTTGGAGAGTTTGCATCTCAAAGTTACTGATGAGCATGAAGAAACCATATGTGGTATAAATGTTGGATTATGGGTTGGAATTGCGGTTGCACGCCATGTGCGTGAGTTGGTGCTCGATCTTTCTTTGTTTAAAAATTCACTCAGATTCCCAACTGTTGCTCTTTTTTGTGATACACTTGAGGCCTTGAAACTCAAGTACTCGGTTCTTGTAGATGTTCCTTCTCCAGTTTATATGAAGTCCCTCAGAACCTTGCACCTTGATTCTGTGAAATTCAAAGACAATGACTCTATTCATAACTTTATATCTAGCTGTCCTAATCTTGAAGATTTGCTCATACATCGAGTTACCCTTAAGAAGGTGCTGATTATTGAAGCGCCATCTTTAAAGAGACTATCGATTTCCGGTAAAATTGGTGGCAAAGAAGAGGCTGGGGGATATGTGATCAGCGCTCGGTCTTTGAAATACTTGAATATTAGAAGGCTTTATAACTGTAGGTGTTGTCTGATTGAGAATGCGCGAGTGTTAGTCAAGGCAACTGTTAGTAACGTTTCTTATATCGTTAATGAGAATATTTTGGGATCTCTCAAGTTAGCCAGACGTCTTTCCTTGGACTTGTCACCTTTGGAGGTAACAACTATATTGCTTGCAATTTAACTTATGTGCTGTTTCTGTTGTCTTACTGATATGATCTTTATGCATATAGATTAAGTGTCCTACCAGAACTAGGTTTTATAATCTGGTATATCTAGAGATGTCTACAATTGAAGCGGAGTGGTGGAATCTACTTAAGCTCATGCTCGAAAGCTCTCCTCAACTACAAGTCCTTAAGCTTATTGATGTAAGATATATATATCATTATTAGTACTCGATCTGATGGTGTCTGTCTCTCTTTTGGGTGTTTAAATTTGAAGGTCTGATCATTAATACACATTTTCTCTTGTGTTTGTCTCATCAGCCTGGTAAGGATGCAAGCAAAGATGATGAGGTTAGCGGGCAATGGAGCGAGCCAAAGTACATTCCTGAATGTTTGTCTTGTTACCTGGAGACATTTGTGTGGATAAGATACGATTGGGAAAGAGAAGAAGAGAAAGAAGTGGCAAAGTACATTCTAAGGAACGCAACATTTTTGAAAAAGGCAACTTTCTCCACAAGACCCGTTGAACACCAAAAGAGTCTCCAGATGCTCAACGAGTTAAATAGTGTTGTCAGTAGTGCTTCAAATTCATGCCACATTTTGTTTGAATGATCTGATATATGTATTAGACTCTTCAATTCTTGTCACACACAACTTTAAACAGAATTAAAAATAAACTTGATGATTTTGGCTATATGATATTATTTCAATCAGACGAGTGATACTAATTAAAAAAAGCAAGACTGTTGAAGAAGGCAAGTTTTTCCACAAGACCAATTGCTTAGAAAGATCTCAACAAGCTTCAAGAAAGAAGCAAGAACAAGATGCTCATAGAAATCTCTCACCTTAATCAATTCTACTTGTAGGAGTACTAGTTAATATATTTTCTCCGGATTTTATAGAACAAAAGTCAACTGAACTTTTATAAATTTAATTAAACTGGCAAAAAAAAAAAAGAGATAAATCAGCAAATATAAATACCCGAGTTCGTATCTATCTAAACCTTCTCTTCTCCTGAAACTACTGATCCAACTTCTCTCTCTCTTCTCTTCTCTTCTCTTCTCTACAAATCGTTTAGCTAAAGGCTCATCGTCTTTTAGTTCCGATTCAATGCCTCAAGTCGTTTCTTCAGTATGCGCCGGTGGTTCCGACCGGAAAATCTCATGCGAAACTCTCGCCGACGATAACGACAAAGACGACTCAACTCATGACCCTAAGATCCAACCCGTATCAATATCCGCCGTCGATTTCCCACCGGAGTCTTACTCCTTATCGAAAGAAGAACAGCTGGAATGGCTAAACGACAACGCCTTCTTCGAACGCAAAGCATCACAGAAACGAAACTCGTCTGCTCCGACTCACAATTCGAATCCGAATTCAAATCCCAATTCGAGCTCTCAGCGAATCTCACTCAAATCAAAGGCGTCGATCATCAGATTACCGAAACCACAGAAGACTTGTTTCAACGAAGCGAAGAAACGTAGAAACTGCAGAATCGCGAGGACTCTTATGATCCCTAAACGGATCGGGTCGAGATTGAAATCGGATCCTTCGTTATCGGAACCGTCGTCTCCCAAGGTTTCTTGCATCGGAAGGGTTAGATCTAAACGCGACCGTAGCCGACGAATGCAGAGACAAAAATCCGGTCGAACCAATTCTTTCAAGGAAAAACCGGTTCGGGTTAAGAAACCCGGCTTTTTCGCTAGCTTCAGAGCCATCTTCAGAACCGGAGGCGGTTGCAAAGACGTAACATCATCGAGTGTAGCTCACGCGCCGCGGAAGGATGCGGTAGCCACTCCGCCTAGGGTTTCGGCTAGGCGATCGGCGGATATCAGAGGAAGGCTCCCGCCGGAAGAATTTACACCGACGAGGCACAGTACCGGTTCGAGGAGATCGTTAGACTGTGGTGACGAACCGGAATTATTATCTGGTTTAGGTGGGATGACACGGTTTACTTCGGGGAGAAGACCGGATTTGTTGGTTGACGTGGCGTGACGTGCGGCGTTTACGGTGGGGATGGTGCGGCGGGGCCCAAGAGCGTGTGTGTATATTTGAAAAGTCGTTGGTGATGATGACGTGGCGAGTGGTTTTAACAGAGTTAGGAACACGGCACATAATGAGAGCGCAAAACGCGGTTAAAAGATCTCGCGTTTCAACAACTTTTCACCGTTTTGTTATATAATATATATATATATGGTGCGTTTATTTTCTTTTTTAAGACTTGTTTTAGGTTTTGTCATTTTTACGTAGGTATTGTTGTATATGTGCTTTTTTTTTTGTTAGAGTGCAATAAGGATACAATGTAAAGATAACTTTTGTTTTGTGAACAACACAGTCAATATATGTTTTAGACAACTTACTAAAGCTTTTATCACGAGGAGATGAAGGAAGATTTTGTTGTCAAAGTTTGAATAAGTGCTAAAATCTTGAAAACAAAATTAGAAGAGTGAAATGTGAATAGTGGGAGCCATGAACGCACTTTAAATTCTTTGACTTGTTCAGGTCGGTCGTGGCGAAGTGGCGATTTTTAAGTTAGAAAAATGATCGGGTAGCTAGCTAGTGTCATTTGAATATGAGTACTTGTTTCGTTTTCAAGAAAAGACAGGTCATTCTTAGCCATCTTTGGTTTTTATATATAATAACATGAGAACAAATGAGAATGGGAACAATCTTGAAAAATCAGTCCTTCTATTTGGCATATAATTATTGGCCATTCCATGATGGGTTGGGGCCTCCGTAAAAACAATATGAGATTTCAGACGTGTAAGTTTTTGTTCATTTCCTTGAAGAACCCTGTCATTTTCATCTGTTCATAAAATGAATTATTTTCTAGAGCATTATTAGCTTTTCTTGTTAATGGGTTTATCATTCTATATATTATGACGTTTGATATAACTAATATATGTTTTGGAAGACTAAAGCAATTTTGGGGGTTTTAATTAGGTAAGAATGGTTCTCTTCTACAAAAGGGTTTTTGACCTAGCAATAGGGAGATATTTTTCTTTGCTGCAAAAAGAGAGAGAGAAAGAGAGGTCCATCAATTTTGATACTAAATAGATATACTTTTAGTATCTATATAGTAGTTACGAGAATTATTGTTTGTTTGTTTGTTTGGAGTTGGCAGGAAAGACAATGACAATTAATTTGTCTTACACTTGTTCTCTTTTTCTTTTCCTCGCTACAATTATTTCTAACCAACAAAAAAAAAATAAAAAAAATATGGGATATTAATGTAGCCGTTGTTATGGATACTATATATTAAAACATATACGTGGATCCAAATAAATTATTCCGACATATAGGATTATTAGTTGGTTCACGTTGTTTCAACGTATGCACATACATATCTCACAACACAACATTATATTATAAAATTGGAAATCGAAGAGATCAAGTAGCAAACAAGAACACAAACACAAGTACCACATAAGATTATTATTTAATTTCTCGCTAGCTAGTCTTACAAATCTATAGCGAGGGTTCTAAAACTAATGTTTAATTAGGTTTCTTCTTTTTATTGCCGGTATCTTTTGCATGGACAAGCTCGTGGAACATCTCCACTCTCCGGCCGTTGAGGGGTTGACAAGGTCTTGAATTGTTCTTGAAAGAAGTATCCAATGGAGATCGGAGTAGTTCTACTTGTTCCTTTGACATTGACCTCACCTGCATTTATTTTAATTTATCATCATACACAACAATACACGGCAATCATAAATCACGATGTCACATTAGTTTGGACCCTTCCCATTACAAAAATTGTCAAATAAATATGAAAGTAAGTAGCTAGCTGTGTGTTATCAATCTTTATATTGACTTCTCTCTGTTTCATTCAAACGTGAATAACAAGTTTGACATTATGGGTGTTTAAGCTTAAAAGCTGGGGCTGTGGAGCCCAAAAGACACTCAAATTGGTTTGAATATTGTCAAGAAGAATTGAATAGTCTATTAACTTTGGATCAAGTTTGAAACTTGAATATTGTTACGTACACTATGTATGGTCTCAATAATCTTTGATATCTTTATTAGAAATTAAACCTAAAAGAAAGTGAGGTCCTAGTTTCCCGTATTTTTAATTAATGAGTACTAAGGTAATTCTCAAAAATACCAATTTTTATGTATTTAATTTATCCTCCACAACAACAGTAACCAAGATTTTAGAGTTCTAACATTATCACAAAAATGATTGTTTCCCACTTCCTAAAATATTTTAAAATCAGTTGAAAAAGTAACTCTAGTCTATACAATTTACTAAAACACTAGATCATTCACACCAAAATTCACATATAGTAAATAATTAAGTGTTTTAAAAAAAAAGACAGAAACTTTTGTTTTACTTAAGAGTAATAAAAAAAAAAAAGTTTACCTTGCCAAGGATGGTCCAAGAAACGTCCTCGGAGCAAGGAGGAGTAGTGAGTGAACCAAAGTATCTGTAGTACTTTCGAGTCTTACGTTCGATGTGTCTTGTGTCTATTTCTCCTACTTCCACTTGAGCTGATTGGTTCCCTTTGCTTATCTCTTCCTTTAGCTTCACCACTTTCTCCTTCATCTAATCATATAATTTCACATTTATTAACATAACAATACCTAATCAAATTAGCTCAATATAGTCACATTAATCAACTATTGTGTATATAGTCAGTCCTCAAAAAAGTACCTGAGAGAGGAAAGGCTCTTCAGCGCCGATTTTGAAGAGACTTGCTACCACAGCGAAGCTTCCATCTTTTGCTTGGTGTACCATGTGCAGCTCAGCTGCATATCTAAGTCATTTTTCATTTTATTTAATAATTATTATTTAACACTTTTATTTTATTCTCATAAAAAAAAGGGAAGCTAAATTTAAATTATATATAACTCCAACACCTAGTAGCAGTAACACTCAAAAAGAAAAATAGGCAGGATCAACATGGGCTTTAACAGGCCAGACTAACCCCAAAAACATTTACCAATGGGCTTTGTGACTCTTATGGAACATATAAGTATTTATGGATTTTTCTCAAATTTTGAATTACAAATTGGCTTATAAGTCATACTCGATTATTTGAGTATTCTAATTCATTGGGTAATCAAACAAAGAATGAAATTTTATGTTTATGGAATATAATTTTATTTGACCATTATAAAGATTTTAAAGATTATAAATAAATTTACGAAGAAATTAGGTGCTTACTGGACTCCATGGAGATGATGTTCAGAAGGAGTGTGCCAATGCATTTGCACTAAGGTATAATTCTTATTATCTATAATCACATCTCCTGCTCCTTCCCCGAAGATCATCGCAACATTACAGACGTGGTCAACCAGCGTTGCGTTTGTGAAGTAGTAATCGCGGTGTAGCGATTCCAATCTGCGGTTGTAAAATGTTTGTCTCCTTTGGATATCAATCGGAGACTGCAATTTACCGACCGCGCATTTGGTGAAGTGAGGGTTTAGATGTCCCCATCGCTTTGGTCCGTTTTTGCCTCTATATCCAAAACCTATTCCTTGTGTCTCTGCACATTATTACATTACCAATTTGCTTTGTGTTAAAAGTTATATATATATTTATTCAAAAAAAAAAAAAGTTATATATATAATATATTCACTACTTAAGGATGAAACCTCTAATTATATATGGATGAGGAGAAAAACAAAGAGTATTACCATAATTACGAGCATTTGTAGGGGCAGTGCAAAAGAGGGCAATGGCGAAGAAGCAGAGCTTAATCATCATCATCTTGTTCTTCATGTTGTGCTTTGATTCCTGTTTTGGTTGGAAAATTCTGCAAAAAAAAAATTAAAGGTGAAAAGCGTTTCCATTAGAAAAAATAAAGAATAGATTAATGATTCCAGAACTTAAACTTAAGTAATGAGTTTTTTTTTATAAACCTGTGGAGATAATAATGTGTGTTTATAACATTACTGCATGGCTGGCACAACTGCACTGGCTTTGCTATTTATAGAGCCCTCTCTTCTAACATTAATTTTTTTTTTGGTCAAAATAATAATAAAAGGCAATAAAAATGAATAAATAAAAAGTTGAAAGATTAGCTAAATTCTATCCAAGCAAATTTATGTGGTTATTTATTCCCTAAAGAAAAGAAAAAAAAAAAGCATACAGGTTGGTGGATCATCATCAGATATATATATATATATATATATATATATATAGGCATACATTACTAGTTTAAATGAACTTTTTTTAACATCGTATTCTTTCAAATAAAATAATTTGTATTTGGTCAAGAGTAAAATAATTATATTAATTATGTTGTGTATATATAATATATTATATATTCGAAATATGTAGTCAACTTTTTGGGTTCAATATTATCTTATACGAGGTCAATATGGTTAAATGTAGCTAGCTTGACCCAAGAATTATGTAGTCAAAGTATCTCATATGTGATATGTGTCAAGAAATTCAAGAACGTTCATGATCAAAACATCTTATTTGGAGGAAACAAAAAATACGTTGAATTCCGTCAAAGATGTAAAACTAGAGTAGAAAATGCATACGATATATATAGTAGTCGTCGTGTCAAATGCTTGACTAGTAGAGTTAATTAATTAACTGAAACCAAATTTGGCTTTTATAAAGTATAGGGCATCGTTTGAGACATTAGGGTAAAATTAAAGTATCATTTTAGTAAATTAAAAACTTGAGTCAGGAAATTTTTTGTTATGTATAAATGGTGAATGGACCTAATTTTATCTTTCAAAAAATGTTATACAAGATTGTTAATTTCAAAACTTAACGAAACAAATTATTGTCTTTATCTTTTTGGTGTGTGATACCTTTTCGTATAATCCACAGATGGTGCCTGCCTCATAAAAACCCACCTCCCATTTTTCTTTCTTTTCTTTTTTTCATTCTTTTCTTCCCACTTCATATCGAGAAATTTTTTTCACGATTCCTATATCTTTGTTATAAATATATAAAAATATTAGCACAAAATCATATAAATGAAAAAGGAAATTTCTCTGAAAATGTAAAAGAGAAAAGTGAAACATGTGATGTGATGATCAGGTAGGGCACAACATAACGGTATCAAGACAAAAAAATGCCTTCGGAATATTCATCTGTCCATACTCCGACCACGATAACATCACATTTGCACCAACTCCGATCTCTAACAAATCTCTTGTCGCAACAAAACAAAATGCATTATGCGAATCTATGGATGGACAATTCCACTTGGTTTGCCCATAACGATCCTTAATTTTTTTATTCTAAAAAATATTTGAATGATATGATAGGTTTGCACGATGTTGATCTTCTCTATATGCATGGCCTTCAAAAGTAGTGGTGCAAATTGTGTGATTTACGGTCAAGAGATCGTCAAAATCTGAACTTCTACATTTTGCCCCACAGCTTAGTGGGAGTCTTCACTGCACAAAATTGAACCATTGTGGTTTTGTCGGTTTAATTCCCACTTAGTATCATGAACATGATTCTATTCTATCGACATTCGACAGTGACTTCTCTGGTTATTCTTCAAAGAACTCGTATAATCATAAACCTTCTTTCTTTTTTGGGATCCAACATTGAGAAAAAAAGAAATGAAAACACTTTTAAATCTGACTACTCTCCTTCATGATTACATTATCACGAGGATGGAAAAACTAGACCTCAGAATATGGACTCTGTGTACATTAAAAGTGACGCTTCAAGAAACCAAAGGTGAAAGATAGAACATTCATGAATGGAAATTTTAATGGAATTTGCTTTAATTAAGGACAACGATTAATTATAATGCCAAATGACGACTTATGATGACAATGTTATCATATTCCACAATGCAAAAATTCAATTAAATCAGAACCAAAAAGCTTTAGGTGAAGTATTAATCATCCCAATGATTTTATATTTTATTCAACATAGAAAGAGAGACTTGGTAGAATGCAAAACAACATGGAAATTTCCATTTCTTGCTTTTGGTCTGAGAGATTAAAAAAAGGAGTAAATCTCATTCTTCTACTGGCCTTTGACCCAACACAGAGATGTCTTCGTACCGTTTCTGCAACATGACAAGAATATCATGTTATGAGTATATAGAGTAGATAATATGTGAAAGAAAAAAGTCATGAAGGAGTACTACCTAGCACAAAACATAGCAGGAGAGCTAAAAACATGGAGATTCAAAATGTAAGCTAGAACAGGCGAACCAAGAATCAATAACAGATCCAATATTAGCTAGTTTATTACTCTATACAAGTTTTCAGCTATCAACTAGTCAAACTAAACAGCTAGCAGAGATAGGGAAGATGACTCAGGCCTTGTTCCTTTACGTATGCATATGTGTTTATGTTACCATTTGAAGTATAAAATGCAAAGATGCATATGAAAACTTTGGCGTTTATACTTAGCAAAACCATGTCCTGTGACTATAACATAAGAAGTTTAAGCAGAACTGAGGACATTTCTATATCAAGATGGGCAGTACAGAGAATGAAGAAACAAATACCATCGAAACTCTAATTCAAAAGACTATAAATATTAACAACATCAATAATACCAAAGATTCTGTGAATAAAAAACTGACTAATTTCCATAACCCTACAAAAAGGCATTTTCAATGAAAGGTAAAGAGTATCTGATGTTAACAGAAAGGAACAAGTATAAATCATGTTTGACGACAAATTCGAATTGCTAGAAAAAGGATTCAACATCACAACATAACAACACCAAAGACATAGATTCAAAACAAACATATAACACATACCCCAACGTTGTTGCGTTCCCACAGCTTATGAACACCGTAATCCACAGCCTGCAAATAATATATGAACCCTTGTGAATATCAAAATGCCACAAATTTCACGAATACACAAATGAATCGAAGTTGAGACTCAAAACTCTGTAATCTTATGCTTATGAAAACCCCAAAATCAAAATCTTTTATCACAAGTTACTGTCGGAATTGCACAAAAACTATAATCTCCAGCTCTCTATTGTTAGATCGATTAATCCATCCAATATCAATTTCCCATTAAACAAAATCCCCGATTTCGTTCTAAAGCAAACCATAAACACAAAGCAGATCCGGAATGATACGAACAGTGATATGGTGTAAAGCAATCGAAAAAACTCTGATCTCTCACCCGTTCGCCAAAAAATGCGCCGGCGATGATGAAAGTGACGTAGACGGAGTTACGGCGCATGATAAGCTTGTAAAAGCCCTCGAAAGCGCCTTTCTGATTTCTACGAGCAGCGTACTCCATGATTGATTCGTTTGTTTCTCAGGCACCTGATCTCTCTACGTATTTAGGGTTAGTGAGAAAGCGATCTACAACCAACAATGGCGAGGGCGTAGCAAAGGAGACGATGAGATTTTCGCAAACTAATCAGAAATGATTCTCTTTGACTCATTCGTATCTGCAAAAAGGCCTTATGGGCCTAAATTGATAGGCTCAATAGCCCATTTACTAGAAATCCAAAAGCTTAGTTTGATTAGCCTAACAAAAAAAAAAAAAACCATTGTTGTATAAAGCTATTCTCACATATATAAGAAAGCAGCACATTCTCATTACGTAATACGCACATGTGTTCCGTGTTCGTTCCATGATCACTAAGTAACTGAAATGGTATCTTTTGATCTCTCTTATGTTACATTTGTCTAGCTCATGACGCAAACATATATATATATATATATATATATATATAGGCTAATATAAAAGATGATTTTAAAATTGGACATATCGCAAGTTAAGAACATGATTGGGTATATGTTTCGGCACATGCATATAAAACATTAGGAAAATATGGGAAGTTGTCACATTCAAAAGTTGATAACCTTTCAACGAAAATTCTGATGATGATTTAAATTAATTAGTTCTGATTCTGAAGCTTTGAACAAAGACTTTAGTCACCTAGCAAAGAAAGAGTAAAATCTAACAGTAGAGAACCCCTTTCTAAAAAAGTTCTGGTATAAAAATGTGTTTTTTGTATAAATGTTTCTTTAGCTATATGCATAAATCTTATAAAGAGAATATATATGTATAGAAAATTCAAAGGGGTTATATGTATATATATCTTGTAAACTATTAACTTGAAAAGAAAAGAAAAAACCTTATACCTCTTTGTGAAACCGACCTTATTATATCTATTCCTTGGATCGTCAGTTATAGTTGTATTGTAAATGTGATTATCTAAACGGATCGAATCACGGATATATAATAAAAATGTCAGAAAATATGTTCTATAACCTCACCTATACAACTAAAGTATAGGCATTAGGCAACTACATTCCACGCAATTAGCAATGTTCTCTAAGATTATAATCATGAAAAAGGCGAGATCAACAATATGTAACACTCATCAGCGCGATTAATTAGCAATAATGTTCTCTAAAATTATAATTATGATTATCACTGTATCAAAGTCTAGATCAACAATATATCAATAGTGTCTTATTATTGAAGTACAAGAACCACATTTTATGTATATATTGTTTAAATGTATAAAAGATTTAGCGTAAGATCAAGCAACGACTGTCTAATCGTTGTAACCCACGAGAAGCTGAGGCAGCTCGCCTAGCTTCCTCAACAAGAGCAGCACGTGCAGACGAGATCCCAGCAGGGACTAGACACGTGTCGAACGTTGAACAATCGATCCAATCCTTAAGAAGCTCTTCTTGTCCCCATATCTCAGGTATCCAAACCCTACCGGCGATCTCTCTCCGGTGCTTCTTTAACCTCTCTCTCCCACTGTCCACTACTCTCTCCTCTTCTTGATTCTGTCTCGGTTTCGGTTTCTCTTCTTGAGGCAGAGCTGGATCTTTCTTGTCGGAAACAGATGAAGACGCTGCTGCTTCCTCGGGCAATCTTGGCGGATCTTGTTTGGTTTGGTCGGGAAGATCAGGCTGAGAAGATGGACCGATCGGGTGGACCATTGGAGGAGACGTCGTATCATCGATGTTCGTCATGGTTTTATACACAATATAGTAAAGCACAGATTCAGATTCTTGGAGGAAACAAGAAATAAAAAGATGAAGAGAGATGTGAGTTTATTTTTTTTTGTTTTGGTGTTGAGAGATTCGGTGTTGATAATATGTATTTGTTTTTTGTTGGGGGGTTATGTAAGGAAATGAGAAAATCGGGTGGGAGGTTGTGTTACACGTCGACGTAAGTCATTTTGTTTGGTGAATTTTTCTTTTTCGCTTTTGTTTTATTTGTATGGTAAGTGACAACTTTACGTGTCTTTTTTTGTAGATTGGATTGCTTTGGCCCTTAATTTTTGGAACGTGAATAAAAGAAATAAATCATCAATATAGAAACTAAACTATTGATTAGACCATTCTTATTAAGTGTTGATTTCTTCTTTTCTTCAAATTTTATTTTTGTGCAATTGGTCATCAAGTCTTCACATATATGGAGTTAAATGATTTAGTAGTTGTGTTGTAAAACACTCAGTTAGAGAATCCTTAAGGAGAAATTTATGAGAGTAATGCATTATAAATAGTATTATGAGAATTTCTCATGAAAATATAGCCATTAGTCAAAAAGGTCTGAGAAGAAATTTTGATTTTACATTCAAAATAAAAACATGTAAAGAGATTCAGGTTTGTAACTGTTAATAAGTTGAAATATTTGTTATTTTTTTGTGAATATTCATTAGTAATGTGAATATAAGAAAGCATTCAAAGCGGTTGGATTTTTTGGGGAGGGATCATGAGGCTGATGTTGATTTAGGATTTATTCCATTGAAATATGTTTAGGTGGGGATACCTGTGAATTAATTGATCCTGATAATGAAACCTGCAAAATATTTGATAACAATAATAGTTTTTTTGTTTTTGTTTTTTTTTTTCCTTTTCTCCAACTTCAATCAAGAAGAACAGAATTGGCTACATATATTTTTTCTGAAAATAAAATAATATTAACATAATAATTAGACATATAGAGGTACCTCTTCTTTCTCACGTAACAGTATAGGGAATTCATTTGTCGCTTTGATAACTTTACTTTCTCTTAATCAGATTTTTTTGTTACATTTAATCATAATATTTTTATGCCATCTCCATGTAATTATGTTAGTTAATTTGAGTTTTTGCTTACTCTCTACAATTTGAGCAAGAAATTAGAATAGTAATATAGGAAAATTAATGTATCTCTCTGCAGAAAGCATATATATACGTACCATCAAATGGTATATATGTGTGTCCTCTGTCCATATATATGTGACTGTCTGATGTAGATGTAGAATTTATTGAGATGGAAATATATTATGTGTCGTGACTCGTCTGGAAGATCGAAGAAGGATATATTTAGTGCAGACGTTAACATGTAACCACACTTTGAAGTTTGATCTTATATGGTCCTCTCGCTTTGATATTTTTCTGAACTAAGTACGTAGACGTGAACTCGCGTGATGATGCGCAAAGATCATGATGAACAAGTAATACATATATATGGATCCTTTGTTGACATGAATTAATTATCTTTATTTGTAACAAATTAACTACAAAGTTCTCGAATATAAATATCACAATTTACAAATAGACTAATTCATCTTGGTTAAGTATATATATATACTTGTTTATTGAGGAGATGTTACATCTAGCTGATGTACAAAACCGCGTTTTCAAAGCAATATTCAAGAAGTCATCAAAGTTTTGACTTCAGATTAATCTATTCACCAAACGTTTGATTTTGTCATGCTTCAATTTTTATATATACACTAACTACTCGTAGACATGGGAGGGAGAAGAACAGAACACTGATCATGAAGAAAACAACAACACAAGCTTTCCTTCTTCTATGTTTGCTATGTCTGTCCTTTCAGGTTCGTGTCAACCAAGGTCAGTACTGATCTCTTCTTAGTTTTTAAGTAACGCGCGACTCTTTTATTACCATCGTTCCATATTAAAACCCTGATTAACTCTTTTCTTTTAAAATCTCTAATTATAATTTTTAATGTTTGGTAAAATTAGCTGGACGTGAGATATGCGTAAGTCCCTCCCCACCCTGTGGAGCTCCTCCTAAGAGAAGTGAAGAGTCGCCGGGACATACTTATAAAAAACCTTGTAAACCAATTCCAAGACCACCTCCTCCTCGGGATTGCTAGCGACGTTGAGCTTTCGACATAAGCCCACCACAGATATAACATCAATGTTTCGTTTAGTAACTATATCTTACAAGACTAATTTATATGCACGGTGTGCAAACGATATCACTTAATTATGCTATTGTAATTTCTTTCAAAGACTCATGTATAGTACTGGTCCCAAAAAAAATATTAATTAATAAGAGAGATGATAATAACAATGTTAAATAGAGTCATATCTATATTAAGTATATAATTAGCAACTAAAACGGTAAAACCACATATGCCTCTTCATAACACATAGTTTGTCTGTGTAGATGTCAAATTTATTGAGATAGGATATTTTGATCGTGCGGTGACTAGCTCGTGAAGCTTTAAGGATTATATTTAGTGCAGACGTTAACATTTGACCACACTTTGATGGATCTATAGTTCTCTCCTTTTGACATTTTCTTAATTTACCCTGTTTATATAATTATATATATAGTTCATCAAACATTCATACATTCATGTCGAAAAGTGATCAGTTCAAAACATGTGTTTACACAAGACAATGTAACCAGAATGAAAATTAAAGGGGAATTGTAAGTTGTTAGGAATAGTTCTATTGATGCATCCGCTTGTGAGTTGTGTCGCCTGCATTGTCATGTAGAATTTAAGAGAGATCAATGAAGGGAAGAAGAGCCCTGCTCAGAGTATGCAGTTGTGATATGTGAATATTCAATAGTCATACATAGAATATACAGTATTCGAATGGGTTGAATTAGTTTATTTATTTTTATATTTGTGAGGATCATGAAACTGATCATTAGGGAGGTGTTTTGTGTGTGTGTGTGTGTGTGTGTGTGGATGATGGTTTCGGTAGGCTTACGTCTTGATTTGTTTATCCAGAAAATGTTACGTAAATGATGTAAAAAAACCGTGTGTTTGTAGATAACAAGAAATCATTCCAAGGTTGAATTCAATTTTCTATGTATCTTAGGAATAAAATTTACATGAGAGAGTATTTTAAATAAGATACCACCATTAGCTTTTTTTGTTTCTTTATTTTCTTCTCTCATGATCAAATAAAAGAAAATTTAAACACTATGGATGAGGAAGCTTCAGACAAAGAAATCATAAATGCCAAAAATACTTGAAAAGCTAGTCACACAAATGTAGTGTATTGTATAAGGCTAGACGTCGGATAAGATATTAGGATAATACCTTAAGAAATGTTAAGAAATATCTATTATATAAGAAACAATTTTAAGACTAAACAATTGTAAGAACTAACCTTAAGAGCTCACCATTAAAAGTGCTATGTATACTTTATTCGGCGAATATTGAAGTTAATAGTCATTTGTGACCTATTCGATAATCGATACATAATGAAAATTTTGGTCTGTGAGGAGGCTGCAATTGATTTAGGGAAGTTTTGTGGAAGTTGAGTTTGTTTCAGAAGGCTTACGTTTCCATTTGTTTATTCATATTTCATAAGATGTTACATAACCGCGTTTTTGTAGAAAACAAGAAGTCGTCGAGGTTTGACTTCAATATTTGTTTATTCACTTATACCTTTGATTAAGTGTTGCTTCAATCTATATATATATATATATATACACCGGTCGACACGGAGACGAGGAGAGAGGACAGGAGCAAATGAAAATGAAGAAAATAACAACGCAAGCTTTTCTTGTTCTATGTTTGCTTCTTATACTTTTATATCTATCCTTCGAGGTTCGTGTCGCAGAGGCTAGACGTCGTCACCTAGGTCAGTCTCTTCTTATTCCAAAAAAATTCTCTCACAATCAAAATATAAACAATGTTTTGAATGTTCTGTTGCTGATGGGGCGATTAGTTCCCCCAATATATTAAATAGTCTAGTTTACAAACGGGTTACCTTTGGGCCGTCTACTAGAACCAATCTAACCTAATCAATTTCTTTTTCTAAATCGCTTATCATCACGAAATATTTTTAATAATCTGTTTGTCCCATGGCTTTTTAAATAATGTGTCGGATAATTTTTTTGGGAAAAAATACTGAGTTTTTAATATTTGTTGTGTGTTAGTTATGGTGCCGAAAACCCAGATATGCACAAAACCTCCCCCACCGTGTGGAGCATCTCCAAGTGGAAGTCAAGTTACGGGACAAATGGATAAATCTGGTTGTAAAACCATTCCACGACCTCCTCGCGGATATCTGCAGTGCTCTCAGCAAAAGGGGTAGCTGCATTGAATGTGAACTATACGGCCAGGTTCTGATAAAGATTTTCAAACAGAAGCTCAGGCACGTTATAGAAGAAAAGTTTCGTTACGTTTAGCTAGTAACCGTATCATTTAAAATAATCGTTTGCATGCTGTGCCAAATCTGTTGTGTTTGTTGAATTATGACATTTTTTATCACTTATTTAAGAAAAACCATGTATATAATATATTGTCAATGAAGAAAATAACACTAGCGTTTCTTCTTTTAAGTCGTCTCTTTGAATTCATAAAATCTATGTACAACTATTTAGTAAGTAATTTATATACATTTAATATATACATATGTTAGAAAACACCCATCGGAAAGATACATGTATATAGTGCAGATGTTAACGTATAACCAGACTTTGGATGATTCGATTTTTTTTACATGGTCCTCTCATTTTGATATTTTCTTAAGTTATCTTGTTTATTCTTGATCAAACATTTATACCCACATATCGTAAATATAATTGTGTATGTACAAAACAGAGTAGATATGTTAACCTTTCTATCCGTTTATCCAATTGTAAACGCAAACTCTTGAATAGTGTGACAGAGACTGAGATGTGACCATTTCTAATAGCTGTTAAAGAATCACCAGAGATGCAACTTAAGTAGCCACACCGAATCATTCCTTCTCCTTACGTTCAACAATCTCATGTAGAGTATCAAAGTGGGTCTAGACTCTAGAGGGGAGCATAGCGAGACTGACCTTAATTTCTTCTTCAAGAACTGTGTGGGATCTCTCTATGGAACTGCATGCCTTCAGTGAAAGATGAAAAAGGACGTCTCGTTACCTTCTTAACGAGGACTTCAAGAAGGACGTATTTTCATATATAGTTAGAGATATCAAGATCGACTACTTGTAACATTTGTTGTACGAATCGTAAATGCTGTGTAATAAAAGGAGAGAAGTAAATACCTAATTCGAAAAGACTTTTTACCTACATTAATATATGGGAACCTCCAAAAGTCTTGTATCCGTAATTACACAGCTAGGTTCATAATATTGAAAATTTTAGTGAACTCTTTATTTATTTTTAATTCCGAAGATGTTACATAGCTAATGTTCCTAGCTAACTGCCTTGTTGTACCTGCAAGGCTGCAACAACCAAGTTGAAACAAGAGACCACTTGACCTTGCACTGTGAGGTTAGGACAATCATTCTTCATCTTTGCGGACTTGTCAACTTCACTCTCCTGGATGGCAACACAATCTCCAAGAAGCTCTTATCCGCAGAATTTTAGATTTAACCACACTTTGATCTTATATGGTTCACTCTAAATTTTTGATATTTTCTCTATTCATAACAATAGTTACATACATTCATTTTTAGATGTAAATTAACATGTGAAGTGTAGTATATACATGGAGTGGAGAGTAACCAAAATGGAATTCAAAAGACTCATGAAATATATATTTTTTTCTCTATCCATTTATCCAATTGCAGATACTACAAGGTAAAACTCTTGAGACAAGTGTGACACACAATGAGATACCGGAGTATGTACAAAAACATGGTAGACTTTTGGTTGAAATTTTATATATATTAGTCAACAGAAACTACGTACAAAGGTAACAACAAATAAGGTCACAGGTTTTAAAATAAAAGTCCAAAATAGAGTGCTAAGGGAAAAAAACAAATACATCCTTGCAACTAGCAAGCTCCTTTGCCCCCTTAAGGTTCATGAAGCTACTCTAAAATCCAAAAACGATTTGTTAGGACGTCACATGTTCTGATGTTCAGTATAAGTTTATAACCCTACAGGCTATACAATAGATCTGGAAGACTGAAAACTCCAAAAGTCTTTGCATCCGAAGTTACACAGCTAGGTTCATAAAAATGGAACTTTAGTGTGAAGTGTACAACTTTTTTTTTCCTACAAAACCGCGTCGTTTTCTATAGAAGATAACCTTCAAGTTGACGTAGTTTGACACTTCAAAGACATAATATCCACCATACGTTTGATTTTGTTTGCTTTCTAATCTCTCTCTATATATACATTTGTCGTCGAGACATGAGAGAGTAACAAAAATGGCAATGAAGAAAACAACACTAGCTTTGCTTCTTCTAAGTCTACTTCATATACTTCTATGTCTATCTTTTCATGTTTGCGTCACAGAGGCTCGATTCCGTCACCTAGGTCAATCTCTTCTCATTTCTCAATGAATTTCTCTGTCACATTATAATTTTTAAGTAATCTACTACTAGTTTTCAATAATAACCTGTCTGACTTATGTGTGTTAAAAAGGTGAGGAACGGATGTACACACCCCCATCTCCAGCATGTGGAGGTTCTCCTAGAGCGAGTTTTGATACGCTTATTACAGGGCAAACTAAAAGGGCTTGTAGAAAAAGTCCAAGATCTCGAAGAACTAGACGTCCTCACGTGTAGGTTTGAGATTCAACCAAAGATTTCAAGAGAAGCCCACATGCATCCACCCATGCATTGTTTCGATTCAATCATTGCTTCATTATTACCTTTTTAATCTTTTTCGATAAAAAAAAAAAAAAAATCATGTACTCATGGTACCAAATCATATATATTCATAATAATTATAATAAAACGATTGTTATACGGGTCAAATACTATGTGCATGGTCATCTTGTTTGATCTCTAATATGGTTCTCATTTAATTGTTCTGTTTGTGTTAATCAAACATTCATAATTGCATATGGAACATAAACGTGTGTCCCATAGATAAGATGATGTGACCAAAATGAAAATCAAAGGGATCATGAAATATAATGTTGTATGTACAAAGCAAAGAAATATACGTACTGTTGGTGTAAGCTTGAAGTAAGAGATTACTTGTGCGGGAAGTTATCCTATTCTAACCGAGATATGGAATTAGGAAATATAGTTTAGAAGTTATCTAGACTTGTGATATTTCCTATTTAGATTAGGATAATGATGAAGGTGTTCTTATATATAAGAGTTGCCAAAGTTGTGGTAAACCTTAAGAGAGATTAGAGAGATCTTGAGAGCTTTAGTTTTTGAGTAAGTTTTCTAAAGCATAATAAAGAGAGCAATTCTTTGTTAAATCTCAAGTTCTTAATATTCTTATAAACTAGATTTGGTATCAGAGCTTTGTGTGGTTTCAATGGGTGACATAGTTGTTGCCACAAACAAACCTCGTGATGGTGGAGGAACTTCATCGATCTCATGTCCTATGCTTACAACAACCAATTATACAGTATGGGCCATGAAGATGATGATTACTCTCAAAGTTCACAAGGTATGGGAGATCGTAGAAGCAGAACCCGTTCTCGTCGATGGTGATGAGGTTGATGCCGAGAAGAACAAAGAGAAGAATAATATGGCTATCGCCTTGTTGTTCCAATCAATTCCTGAAACACTTGTTTTACAAGTTGGTGCACTCGATTCAGCAAAGAAGATATGGGATTCAATCAAAACTCGATATGTTGGTGCTGATCGAGTCAAAGAAGCTAGGTTACAAACCTTGATGTCTGACTTTGAACGCCTCAAGATGAAGGACAACGAGAAGGTTGATGATCTTGCTAGTCGACTAGCTGAAATCTCCTCCAAATCTGCTTCCTTGGGTGCAACCATTGAAGAATCCAAATTGGTCAAGAAGTTTCTCAAGTGTCTTCCTCGGAGAAAATACACTCATATAGTTGCAACACTAGAACAAGTGTTAGACCTTAACACTACCAGTCTTGAGGATATTATTGGTAGAATAAAGGCGTATGAAGAACGTATTTACGAGGAGGAAGAGAATCAAGAAGACCAAGGCAAGTTGATGTATGCAAATTCGGACTCTCAATCATATCAAAACCGTGACTCTAATGCTAGCAGAGGACGAGGAGGTGGACGGAACAGAGGACGAGGGCGTGGTGGACGCTACAATGGGGACAGAGACACTTCGAAAGTAACGTGTTACCGCTGCGACAAACTTGGTCATTATGCATCAAGTTGTCCAGATCGTCTCCTTAAGCTGCAAGAAACACAAGAGGATGAGACCAACAACACGGAAGAAGCAGATCAACTTATGGTTCATGAGGTTGTATATTTGAATGAGGAAAATTGCTTACCAAGCAAATATGACACAACCATGAACAATGAGTATGTTTGGTACCTCGACAACGGAGCAAGCAATCACATGACGGGAGATAGGAGATATTTTACTAAACTTGACAATATGATTGCAGGAAAAGTACGCTTTGGAGACGATTCACGCATTGACATCAAAGGAAAGGGTTCGATTGCTTTCATTGACATGAATGGAGAACCGAGGACAATGCCAAACGTTTACTACATCCCGGACTTAAGAAGCAACATTATCAGCTTAGGACAAGCCACAAAATCAGGTTGTGACATTAGAATGAAAGGAGAGTTTCTGACGATGCATGATCACGATGGAAAACTTCTAGTCAAGGCCGAGAGAGCCCGGAATCGATTATACAAAGTTCATATGGCGATAAAAGACAAAGACTATCTCAATCTCACACGGATTAGTGAATCAAATAGATGGCATGCTAGGCTTGGACACGCAAATCTCGACACCATAAGATCCATGTTTCAAAAGGCACTTGTACAAGGAGTCCCACAAGTGCAATTTGAGAAAGAAGTGTGTGGTTCGTGTTTACTTGGCAAACAAGCAAGGCAAGTATTTCCTCAAGCTACGACATTTCGAGCTAACACAATTCTTAAGTTAATACATGGAGATCTTTGCGGTCCTATAACGCCAAGCACGTTTGCTGGAAAGAAGTATATCTTTGTCTTGATCGATGACCACTCTAGGTACTTGTGGACAATCTTGCTAAAGGAGAAAAGTGATGCGTTTGATAAATTCAAAATTTTCAAACACATGGTTGAGCAAGAAACAGGAGTCAGAATCAAAACATTCAGAACAGATAGGGGAGGAGAATTTGTAAGCCAAGAATTCAACACTTTCTGTGATGATAATGGAATCAAAAGACATCTAACTGCTCCTTACACACCACAGCAGAACGGAGTGGTTGAAAGAAGAAATAGAACTATGATGGAGATGACTAGAAGTATGATGAAGCATATGAAACTACCTAACTACTTGTGGGGAGAAGCAGTGAGGCACACAACCTATCTTTTGAATCGCATAACAACACGAGCACTTAAGAATCAAACACCCTATGAAGCATTCAAGAATAAGAAGCCACGAATTGATCATATTCGGATCTTTGGTTGTGTTTGTTATGCAAAGGTGGATAAGCCTCATCTAAAGAAACTGGATGATCGATCAAGAGTTCTCATCCATCTCGGCATAGAACCAGGGTCTAAGGCTTACCGGCTTCTTGATCCACAAGTAAGAAAGGTTGTGGTAAGTAGAGATGTAGTTTTCGATGAAACAAAGGGATGGAACTGGAGATATAGTGATCCCGAAACTGAAGGCTGTGGGAGTTTTAGCCTCAAAATTGGAGAATTTGGAAACCATGGGATAGAGGAAGAAGATCGGGTTACCAAAACAGAACACGAAGGGCAAGAAGAACAAGACGGGCTTGATATGACTCGTGGTGATCAAGAACACAGACTTGAAGAAGAAGAGACTGCTGGGCATGAACACGAGGAAGAAGAAAACATGGCTGGTCATGAGCACGAAGAAGAAGAAGAAGGAGAGTACTATTCAGACCTTGATCTACCTATTGCAATAAGAAAACCAGTAAGACAAATTAACAAGCCTAAATATCTTGATGATTATGCATTGATGATAACGGCCATTGAAGAAAGCGAGATGCTACTGTTAAGTCTGAATAATGAGCCAAGGAATTTTCAAGAAGCAAAGGAAACTAAGGAATGGAGACTTGCTTGTGAAGATGAGATCGAGTCAATCAAGAAGAATCGAACGTGGGATCTTGTTGAATGTCCAAAAGATGTGAAACCAATTGGTTTAAAATGGGTATTCAAGTTGAAAAAGAATTCTGATGGTAGTATCAACAAGCACAAGGCTCGACTCGTGGCAAAAGGATACGTTCAACGCTATGGAATAGATTTCGAAGAAGTGTTCGCTCCTGTTGCACGAATCGAAACTATACGACTTCTTGTCAACTTGGCTGCAACTAATGGCTGGGAAATTCATCATCTTGATGTTAAGACAGCATTCTTGCATGGTGAACTAAAAGAAGTTGTCTATGTTAAGCAGCCTGAGGGTTTTGAAGTAATAGGAGAAGAAGGCAAAGTTTACAAGCTCAACAAAGCTTTGTATGGGTTAAGACAAGCACCGAGAGCTTGGAATAATAAACTTAACCAGATTCTCTTACAGCTCGAGTTCAAGAAGTGCTCAAAAGAACCATCCGTGTATCGCAAGGAAGGGAGAAATGGTCTTCTAATCATTGCCGTGTACGTCGACGACTTATTTGTCACCGGAACTAGTCTTCTAATCATTAACGAGTTTAAGCGAGAGATGTCATTAAAATTCGAGATGAGTGATCTTGGTAAGCTCACATATTATCTTGGAATCGAGGTTGATCAACACGAGCAAGGAATAGTTTTGAATCAACATCGCTATGCTCTTAAGATATTAGAAGATGCAGGGATGACAAGTTGCAATCCGGTTCATACACCAATGGAGTCTGGTCTACAATTGTCTAAGTCTGAGGAAAGAGATGAGATCGATGCCACGACCTATCGAAAGCGAGTTGGTTGCCTTCGATACTTACTTCATACAAGACCCGACTTATCATTTTGTGTTGGAATTTTGAGTAGGTACATGCATAGTCCAAGAGACACTCATGGAGCTGCAATGAAGATGTGCTTAAGATACTTGCGAGGAACAACAACTCTTGGCTTAACATTTAAAAGGTCGATCTCAAGGATTCCAAAGCTAATAGGCTATAGTGACAGTAGCCATAATGTTGATCCCGATGATGGAAGAAGCACGGCTGGTAATATCTTCTATCTTGGGGATAGTCCGATTTCATGGTGTTCACATAAACAAGCTACGGTCGCAATGTCTTCTTGCGAAGCTGAGTTTATGGCTGGGACTGAGGCTGCTCGACAAGCTATTTGGCTTCAAGATTTGCTAAGTGAAGTCACCGGATCATCTAGTGAGAAGGTTGTTCTTTTGATGGATAACAAGTCGGCTATAGCTCTCACTAAAAATCCGGTTTTCCATGGAAGAAGCAAGCATATTCATAGAAGATATCACTTCATAAGGGAGTGTGTGGAGAATGGTCAGATTGAAGTTGAGTATGTTCCCGGAAATGAACAAAAGGCGGACATTCTTACTAAAGCTTTAGGAAGAGACAAGTTCAAACTCATGAGGGCATTCATTGGTGTTGAAGACTTGGTGAAAAATGACTTCAAGCTTAAAGGGGAGATTGTTGGTGTAAGCTTGAAGTAAGAGATTACTTGTGCGGGAAGTTATCCTATTCTAACCGAGATATGGAATTAGGAAATATAGTTTAGGAGTTATCTAGACTTGTGATATTTCCTATTTAGATTAGGATAATGATGAAGGTGTTCTTATATATAAGAGTTGCCAAAGTTGTGGTAAACCTTAAGAGAGATTAGAGAGATCTTGAGAGCTTTAGTTTTTGAGTAAGTTTTCTAAAGCATAATAAAGAGAGCAATTCTTTGTTAAATCTCAAGTTCTTAATATTCTTATAAACTAGACGTACTAGAAAGCAAACTCTTGAAACAAGTGTGACAGAGACCAATATATATATAAATAGCATCTACCAATAAACAGTTCTAACACCTATTAGAGAATCACCAGACAGGCAACTTACTAACCCACGTTCGTATAGAGTGATCAAAGAGGGTCTAGAGGCGAGGATAGCGAGATCGACCTTTCTTCTTCAAGAACTCTGGGATCTCTATGGAACTGCCTTCAGTGAAAGATGAAGAAGGACGTCTTGATATTCCCATTGATGCATCCGCTTGTGTCGCCTGTATTTTCAGAGTCCGGAAATATCATCATCGAATTATTGTAACATTTGATGTAAGAATCGAGTGTGTTGTGTGTTAGAGGGAGACAAGTGAATACCTGAAGTGGCTTCCCTTCCCCTTCTTCTTGGCGTTTGAAACCGGTTGCTATTAGGGTAATACTTATCTGGAAAGACGAAAAAGTTTGGGTATCTCGGAGGTTATATGCTAGATGAAGATCCATGAAAGAAGAATACTTACTTGACCACTATAGGATGGATCTACCACCGCACCAAATATAAGGTTAGCTGTCGGATCAACGAGGTCATAAATCACTTCTGCAGCAGCATTTACCTACAAATCGTTTCCCCAAGAATCAAAATTGAGCATTACAACATAGTAAGGAACACGGGCTTGAAACTTTGTTCTGAAATTTTCTAGTACAGGGCAAGAACTGAAAATGCGGAAAGGGAGAAAGAAACCTCGAACAGTGTTAAGTCGCTTCCGCCGGTTATGTTCCAAACAATTCCAGTGGCTCTTTCAATGCCAATATCTAACAGAGGTGACTGTATCGCGTTTAATGCAGCATCTCTTGCTCGTGTCTTTCCTGCTCGAATAACAGTTTACCATGAAAGAGTAAACATGGATGCAACCAATATCATTGCACCAAAATAGTTCAAGTTTAATATATCACAATGCACATATGATAGAGGTACAAGGACTATCATTTGATGATTTTCAGTATACCAAACATCATTATACTGGTTCCTTTGTCACGGTGAAAGCATACTAAATCTGTAGTCCGATTAATCTACTAAGGAACATCTATAGTACCAATTCACCGTAAACCTTAGCATTTTATATAGTTAACAAACATATGGATATAGCGTCACCTATACTAGTCATGAGATTCTCTAACCTGCCTTCTAACTAAAATTGCCCTTTTGTTACTAAGTAACCCTGCAGCAAATAGAGCCTATCAACCAAAAAGCTTTAAATCTAACGACCACTCTACTATTACCAGTTGCAGTTCCTATTCCCATCAATGAAGAACCTGCATTTGCCATTATAGCCCTCACATCAGCAAAATCCACATTGACCAATCCAGGTATCTGCAATGCAAGGGGAAAATGACAGCTGTTAGACATTTTATAAATTATACAAACAAGGATGCGAAAGGGAACTGATACATTACAATGCCATACCGTAATGATATCAGATATTCCACGGACTCCTTGACGAAGTATATCATCTGCCAGATTAAATGCTTCTGTAACTGGAGTAGACTGAGAGACTGCTGAGAGTAACTTGTCGTTTGGAATAACAATAAGAGTGTCGACATTCTCTCTGAGCGCTGCAATCCCTTCCTGAGCCTGGACTGTTCTTCTCCGTCCCTCAAACGAGAAAGGCGTAGTGACAATACCAACCGTCAAGATACCCATAGCTTTTGCAACCCCTGCAATTATAGGAGCCCCTCCCGTGCCAGTTCCACCACCCATTCCAGCCTATAAAAAGAACAAGAAATTTGGCTAACTATCCTCAGGCAGTGACTTAGAGATCGCTGATGTTACCAGATAAACAGAACCCACCAAAATTTAATATAACATCAGCGATTCTTACCAGTAAAACTTCTCATTATGTAATCTATATTTCCTATAGAAAGATGCATAATCAAAGTTCTCTAACTAAGAAAAACTGAAAGTCATAGTGATAGACATACAGTGACGAAAACCATATCCGAACCATAAAGTGCTTGTTCAATAGCTTCTTTGCTTTCTGTGGCAGCATTCATTCCAATCTCTGGATTTCCTCCAGCACCTAAACCCCTAGTCAACTCTTTTCCAATCTGTAACCTATTGTCTGGGAAAACCGGAGACATTCTCATTGCCTGAATATCGGTATTCACAATCCAAAACTCCACGCCAACCATCTCACTCTCAATCATCCGATTCACAGCGTTTGAGCCACCACCTCCAACGCCGATAACTTTGATACGTGCCTCATTGTAAGTGGTTGGAGTAGATAACTCATCCAGATCCTCAGTAATGGGTCCACTTGTAATTTCTTTTCTTGGATTGAGCATCGATATTTCAGGGTGGAGATTCAAGAAAGAGTCTTGGCTTTGGAAATGGCTAGGACTATGAGAATTCAAAGAGTTCCTGATTGACGAAGACTCGGATTTATGAGCAGCAACAACAAAGCGGTTTCTCTTACTTTCAATCATTCTTAAGCAACCAGCCCTGGCGCCTAGATGATTCTCCGGTAGTACACTCTTTCTAAGAAGAGTGAGAACCCGAGAATCCGGAGGAATCAAACAGGGAGAAACATAAGTTGCCATTTTGAGAGCACAGAACCAACCAATCGTTGTCTAAAACTCCAATATAATGGCCAGTTTATGCTAACAGAGACCTGTTCAAGAGAAAGAACAAAAAGTCAACCATAAGTCCTTCAAGTTAAGTGGTATGCGCATTCTACAATACTATAATCGAAACCCAGTTGCATCTGGATCAAGTTAATAAAAACTAGAGGCTAAGATACTTATAAATGAACATTTAGATTGAGCGATTACAAAGATCAACGAAACGAGTCAATGTCATTCACAACCTCTATATCTAAAACAAAATGTAAACTCAGTAGCATCAATGCTTCAATTATAAGATTTTGGAAGAGCATCAAACTGCTCGAATCAGAAAGATAACAATTTGCGCGCAGTGCTATCACGAAATTGAAGATGGGTAAAATCACAAAATTTTGTAAAACAGAACACGAATACAAAAGCTAAGACATTCGGTAAAACCAGCGGAAGAAACTACATTTAACATGTAAGAAGAGCAAGAGAACCTATGAGTAGTAGCAGGTAGCAGGTAGCAGCAGCAGCTTAAGATTTTCAATTTTGAGAGCTACAAAGAAGGAAAAGATGGAAACGAAATGGAGGGTTTTTGGTGTTTTCTGGAATTGGAATCTCTTTCTCAATCACATAAAAAAGATTATGAATTGATTTTGCTGTAATTTTCTTTTTTGTTTTTTCTTGTTTTCACGTCAATTGATTTTGCTCATTTATAATATAAATCTGTTTCAGTGAAAAAGTTCATCTGCTCTGTTGGCAAGTGAGGAAAACGTTGGCCGACGAGGAAGAGGATGAAGACAAATTAAAAATTTAAGGTTTAGGAGATATGGACCTATAATTCTTTATTAAAGCCCATTTTACTTTTTGGGCCTTATCAAAGATTTTTGCATTTAATGTTTGGCGTAAGTTCGATTTCAAATCGATGTTTCCGGTGAAATTCACAGTTTATGTTGCTATTTTCTCATGTTTTCTAGATTCGTACAACATAACTAGACAAAGTCGAGGGGCTAAATGAAAACAGTTGAAATACATGACTGTCCTTTTTTTTGTCTAATAACCGGACCATGACTGCAACAAGCGACAATCTGAAGTCAGAACTGTTTGTGTTATTTGTCAACGCAGTAGTTATGTTGAAACAATCTCAAGTTGTAAAAGTTAAGACAAAACTTTCTCACAATATCTTCCCTGTAGATTATAAGCATTCGAAATTTTACCTCCATACAATATATTCAAGCCAACACTCCTATCTTTCTCCAATTGCTAAAGAAACTGTGATGATGGTGAAAAGTTTTTTCTCTAATAGCTTATTACCTACAGAACAATGTAAAACCAAACTACTCACTTCCCTCTTGTCACTTGTATATCATCGTAGTCGAAGCAACCTAAGTGCTATAAGTACAATGAAGACATTGTATGACTTTCTACCCAAAACTCAAATGGCCTTTATCTAATCAAAAGCACTATAGGCTCTCTATGTTCGGAAAATCTACACTACAACTGCATCTGTATAACACATGTATGCTCAAATGAGTATCACCAAATCTAATTTAAATAACAATTCATGTCAAGAAGCTTTCATAGAGAACTACAAAAGGATGATGAATAGAGCATAAAAGAGATATAAGAAGAGCATCGAATCATATGACTTAAACCACATCGACAGTAACTTCCTCTAAAGTTATCAAAAAGAACCTTTACAATGTATCAGCTCTATTTCACCACAAACACTTTTAAGATTTCAACATTAAGCTACTCAGTAGTGGCACCGGAGAGATGAACAATCTATCAATATTTCGAAGGCAAGGAATCAAAAGATAACGAGAAGTGAAAACAGAGTATAGATCAAGAAACATGCGTACGAAATCAAACCACGGTGCTCTTCTCCACCGTCAGCAAGAGAGACCACCAGATTAGAGCAAGCTCTAGTAGCCCACATAACAAACGCCGCCGCGAGCACAAACCGAACCGGACCTGCACCTTGTGGCACGAACAATGACACCGCCGACAAAATCACAACGGGAAGCAGAGAGTAACCAACTAAGCTCGTACAAGTATGAAGATTCAGATTCCCATTTCGACCAGCAAGCATATTGAAGACAATGTACAAGAAGATAGAGGAAACAACGACCCAGCCAAGTATAACACCAAACTGAATCTTCCCACCGAGCAATTGAAATAGGCAAAGCGCAAGGTACAAGAAGATCGGACCAGAGAGATCTGAATCCTTGTGAACAGTCTGATTAATCCGAAAGGGATTAAGAATCGATCTAGTCTTCCTCCAGATTTGATCTGGATGAATACCGAGCTCGTCGAGTAAAGGCTCCTCATCTTCAAACGAAGCAGAGCCGCCACCAAAAGACGAAGAAGAAGCGATCGTCCCGCCGAATGGTCCAGCAGGCATTGACGCGGCGGCGGATGCGGCGTCAAACGACATGAATGGGATTGAGGATGAAGCGGAGGAAGGACGTGGTTGTTGGTAAGGAGCTGTCGGAGCTCGGCGTTGTTGGAAATTTGGTCCCGCCGGAGAACCGCCGGGGAAAACAACCGGTGGAACTGGTGGCACCTTTGACATCGTCCTTCCCGAAATGTCAGATCTCGAATTGAAGAAAGAGAGGATTCGAATTCAGTTATAGTGTGTATACAAGTTACTAATAATTTGGGCCGCCTTACAGGCCTTTGTTATAGCCCATTAATTTATGGTTTGTTCCAACAAGTGAATAAACGCATGGATGTAGTTTTTAACTACTGATTATTAATTAAAAGTTATAAAACAACGATTGATTATGCTAGCAACAATGTCGTTGTAGTATAGTGGTAAGTATTCCCGCCTGTCACGCGGGTGACCCGGGTTCGATCCCCGGCAGCGGCGTTTTTTTTTTTTTTTACTTTTCTTAATCTTCCTTACTATTTTAGCTTCGAGAGCCATTTTAGAGAATTTGTATGCTCATAAGTGTATTCAAAGCTGCCTGCCACTTGCCAACAACTAAAGAAAAAAACACAATTGAGATTTGGACTAATAATTTCTTCACTAATCTTTGAAAGTTTTGTTTGGGTTTTGTATTAATTTGTGTTGTTTTGATTTGTACAAACTCACAAGATTTCGTTAATTATGGTTAAGAAGAGTTTACAGTTTTTATCGGAAGAGTGGAGTTAGAGAGGGACACATGCAAAATACATAATTGCATTAATATACACTAGTTGAGGGTCAAAGATATGGTACATCGTCATCGTAACTCTAAGCCTATACCATGCATAATGTCCGATATCATTACCCTGTAGGTAAAAATATAATGAGAAGTGAGGAAATATAATGATTGTAGAAATTGAAAGTACCAGAGAAGTGCATAATTAATACCTGACGTCAGATGATGATGCCTTGCATGGTCTTCGAAAGAGATTTTGGGAGTAATCATAAAACGGACATCTCTAAAACTAAGATTTCAAAGTTGACTTCGAGTTTTCCCTTGTTTTATGAATATATGATATTCGTTTAGGCCAATTGTATCATGATGGTTCTTCTCGGCCTCGATTTTGAATTTTCACACAAACACTTGAGTTCGATGCGACATCTTTCTTGTTTTCCTTGTTCTTTCTGTCTAACACATTCGGATTCGTATCTAAGTTGTGTTAATCTGATGTTTGAATTTCTTGTATTTGTGTAAACTGCCTACTACCACCACCGTTTTGTTGTTTTATCTACAATTAAATTGCAGGTTTTTGCCAAGTTTTTATTGGGGCTTTTATAGTTAAATTTTAATTGTAATTTTAACACATGTATATATCTCTCTTTTACCATTACTTTACCCCATATTTACTCACCTCACCGGTTGACATACATAAACCAATTGCCATTAAAGTACCATGTCTTAGATTAAAGGTAAAGACTCAAACATCATATATATGCTCCAAATTGTCCTGTCCTTAATTTTAATCAAGATTTTATTAATAGTCTTTTATGATAATTTAAGCCATCATAAAAGGGTTTAATTTGAATTAATATATATTATTATTATTATTAAAGAGTTGAAACATTGTTGTGATTGATGTATTAGGGGGGAGTAGGAGGAGAAAAAATAGAAGTCAAATGAGATCAGAACACTCGTAGTTTAGTCTTCATTTTTTTCAAACAAAAAAATGAATAGTCCTTTGACTCGTAAGAAATTTTTAGAGTAGGGGGAGAGTGAGTTACATGATTACGTCACATAGAATCCGAATGAAAAGCACCTTGTCTCATCTCTCTCTCTCTCTCTCTCTCTCTCTCTGCAGCACAGAGCCGCTTGAATTGAATCTCATGTGAGAGACACCCCCCACCTTCACCTTCTGTTCTCTTTTTATTTTGATATTCTAAAACATATTTTGGAAAAGGTAAACTTGTTTATTACATATCAACTTCTTTTGTTCTAACATTTCATACGATCATTTCTTCGTAAAAGATCACAAAATAAGAGAGGAGCCTAAGTTTATAATTCATGTTTAGCTCGATTGCTTAGAGCTATATTCTATTTTGATATTAATATTGTTGGAGATACAATGTTTTACGTACCCATAGATATGTGACCAATGTTATCATACTATCAACAACTTGTTTGAGCCATCATAATTAAAGAAAAATGTTCAGGTGCACATGGCGGAATAATCAAATCATTTCAATTTAGGATGTTAGGATAAAATCATAAAACTTTTCATCACGTGACTTGAACTTGCCTACAACACATTGTAGACTACATTATTATACCACTACTGTTAAATTTGTTTTCTTCCTCGTTTGCTCTAGTATCATTGAAAATTACGTAAACCTAATTTCATTCAAACTTTTCTATTTTGGAAAATGATTTGGTTAAGATTTATCCAATATCGAGTTTTGAATGTTTTCTAGGTTCAAGACTTGAATAACTTGTCCCCATTTTATATAATACATTAACTGATTGATATGCACTTGACAATATATGATAAATAAAGAGAGCAAAGGTGCAAATGTTAGTCCAAGAATCAACCATATCCTAAAGTCCCAAAACCCCACACAAGAAGATCTTTAATTAACATAGAAAATAGAAACAAAAGTGAAAAGAAAAAAAAATATGACTGAGAAGACTAACAGAGAGATACTGTCTTCTTATGTAATAAAACAGAATCTTTCCTTTCATAATAACTTACTACAGTACTACTATTGGATACTAGTTATCTTCTTCCTACATTACACCAAACAAAATAAAAATCCAAAAGGTTGGGTTCTTCTTCTTCTTTTTATCTTTCTACGGATTCCAGATCTTTGCTCTAACGTCTTCTTGATTTAAAATCCAGATTGTCCAGAAGCAGAGGTTGACTTGTTGTCATTGTTTGATCCATTAGTGTTCTTAGTTTTGGAGAGCTTCTGTCTGAGCTGAAACAAAAGCTGTTGATTCTCTTGGTTCAGAAGCTCAGCTTTCTTCCTTAGCCTCTCGTTCTCTTTCATTATGTAGCAGTTCTCTACGTACAGCTTCGAGTTTAGCCTCTCCATTGTTTTGCTTTCTTGCTACAAGAGAAAAACAAAACTAGTGTCAAAATTTGAAAATAATAAAAGGGAAAAAGAGAGTAGTAATAATAATATCAACAATAAAACCAAAGCTTGTGTTATGATTATATATTGTTCATGTTGAATCATTACAACACACATGGGTTGTGCAGCTTCTTCACACGTCGGATGTGAATTACATTAGGAGAAATTATTTGTCGCATTTATTTCGTTTTCATCCTAAAAATGTGAATTTTTATTTTATTTTTGTCTTCTTTTTATGAAATCAATGATCAAAGAGAGGGAGAAAAACATGATTATAAATTTGTATGGAGGATAAAAAAGATAAAGCTAAGAAAGAAAAGATCAAAAGAAAAAAAAACAAGTAATCATGATGATATGCAGTAATTATAAATGTTTTAACCTCTATGGACAGAGAGAGTAATGATTATATTTGAAACGCTAGAAAAAAACAGAGTAAGCAACAAAACAAAGATGATGATCGTAGAGATACAAACTACTATATAATAGAAAGAAAAAAAAATCAAACAATTTGTTTATTTTCTTTCGGTTGCCTCTCTATCTCAAAGAAAAGGATAAAGATTAAAACTTTCCATCACTGAGGAAAATTTGAAAGATAAAAAAAAAAAAGAGTCTCACGTAATTAAAGAAAAAGAAATAATGGGTTTGTCTTCACGTTAGCTAGTTGTACGTGTAACGTTACTACACAAGTATAATCTTAACGTATGAACGCAAAAACAATATAAGCACGAGAACGAACACAGAAACAGAGAGAACGAAACAGAGCATGTTGATAAGAACAAGAACCCAACTTGGGTATGTGAACTCATCACGTAAAGCTTCTAGAAAGACACTAAAAGAAAGAGAAAGATGAAGATGAAGAAAGGTTATACCTTTTGGGAAGGAGTGTTGAGTTGAGAAGCAGGGTTAACGAAGAAGAGAGAGAGAGAGAGAGAGACGCTACGTTGTGTGTGTGTGTGAGTGGAAGGTAGAGGGACAAAGAGAACAAAGTGAGACACTGTCTGTTATATAGATCCCCAAAAGCTAAAGAGAGAGAGGAGAGGAGAGAAAGAACCTTCTCTCACCTGACACAACAATCATGCATTGTGTTGTGTTTATGCATATATGGCGGCCGCGAGAAGAGAGAGGATAAAAGAGATTTGTGTGCATATTGCGTCATGTGAATGATGATGATTTATTAAAGACAAAGAAGTTAAAAAAAAAAAAAAAAAAAAAAAGGAGTTTCTTGCTTGGCTTGCTCTTCTTTCGAAATTGATCTTTAAGTAGCTAGGGATACATTTGTAATTTCCGGAAAGATCCCCCAACACAACACAACTCAACACAACCCACTTCTTGGCTCTTCATCGTATACATCCTCCAAACAGAAGATTCGTCTAGTAGTTAAGACCGGAGGGTACTTTGGTAACAACAACCATGAGAAGGGTGATAAATGTCATTGTGTTAGGATTATGAGACGGGCTACGTTATAGTCGTAGAAGAAGTCTAAGAGGAAAAGAAAAAAAAAAAAGATTCGCAATGATGGTAAAGATTGGTTCGAACCATCATCCTTCATGATTTCAATTTCAACCGTTTTGGACCATTTTTAAATGCTCTCTTTCTTCTTCTTGTTTCCCGGTTTGCTCAATATTGGTTTACTCTATCTTACACTCCACCATTATTATGTTTTTAGATTTGGTGTTTCGTCTACAAACAAAATTTATATTTTCCTTTGTGTGAATCATTCGTGTTATATAACGGAATTTGAAAATGCATTCCTTATTTAGGTAAAGATTGATATAATTATTATGGGATAAAAAAGAAAAGAAATAATGAATTGAAGAAGAGTGTTTGGACTTTGGAGCCGTAGAACCTACAAAAAGATAATCATTGATCATAAGTGTTGTAGAACGTGAAACATTTATCAACAGTGCATCCGTTTCGTAACTCGTTTTTTTGTCCATAATTTGCCAAAAGGATGGTCGAATTTTCACGTTTATTGGAAAATAAAAAAAACTACTTTAGGTTGTGTATATGTCTTGTACGTAGCTTCTTTAAAAAAAAACTTTCTTTCACAGAATAAATTTGAGGAATTGTGTGTGTATTAAAAAAATATGATTTTGTAAATATGTCGATTTGTAGAAGTTAAACAAAACTGAAACACAATTAGTATTAAGTTGGTGTGTCTTGAAATGGAACTAAAGAGAGTGGGTGCACTTGCTTACTACACCAAATGCAATGATTTTTCAAGTAAGGAGTTTCATTTCTTGTTGGTCTGTGCAATGCCGTTTATGCCCCCTTCCTCATTGTTTTGGTCTACTATTGAAACAAGTTGTGCATCAAATCCATGTTTGGCTATTCGATTTGGTTTCCGGTTTATTTATAAAATGACACAAAATAATTTAGGAATATATTTGGTTTGCAGATTGATTTTGGTTTAGGTTCTATAATATGGTCGGACCATTTTCATAGACCAAACGGACACAAAAGATATATCGTTAATGTTATTTGTTTATTTGTTTTACGGGGTAAAAGATCATTCATATTAGACTGCATGCAAACATTATCATTGCACATCTAAACTTTTAAACGTTAACGTTAAATACATTAATTTTTCTTTTTCTTTTTTGTTGTTGTCGATACTCAATACCATATAAGCAATTTAGCATATTCGATTCTACATCGACATTTAACATATATAGTCTGGCACACATATATCCTAACAACATGATTCAATAACACGAACCAGAGAAGGTCTAAATATGACATGATGGATTGGCTAAGAAACTGGTTAACCAGACCGAATCCTTTTCGACGGACACATCATCGTCGTTCCTCTGCCATTCCCAATGTGCATGAGTCGCATTCTCGACAACCAATTGACCATGCCCGAAACTTGCTTCTCTGAACAATGACATTTCGGGATTTGGATCTCTATACCTATAATTTTTATATAAAACATCATCAAATCATTAATTTTTAATATCACGACCGTTAAAAATAAAATAAGAAGCTAATTTCGCAAACATCTTACTTGGTAGCAAGGCCTTCTAGATTGCCACCATCCCCAATGTTAATATAAACTGGACCACATTTGTCGAGCTTATCTTGGTACACTCGATTCTGTCAAGGTAAATCCACAATTAGTACTATATCCAAAATAAAATACAATTCTTAAATAAAAACGAAACCAATTTAAGACTTACGAAACGCTCGTAAGCATGAACGTGACCGGCAAAAACCAAATCGACTCGTGCTTTATAAAGAAGAGTTTCCATAGATTCTTTCATCTGCACACTCTCTTTCTCTCCTTGGTGAGCTTCGTTGGTGTTGTACCAAGGAGCGTGCACCACAGCCATCAACCACGGTGTGGTCTTACGGTCTATTTTTTTAAGATCACTTTCTAACCATTGGTACTGCTCCGAGCCAGGCTCAAAATCTGTGTATGACCCCAACATGATAATGTGGACTCCATAAACGTTGAAGGAATAGTACAAATTCGAGGTTGATCCACTTTCTTCAAATGGCATGCGCCACCTGGTACATGTTGTATACACACAAAAAATATCGAAAATTAGCAATAACTCAAAAAGAAGACAGTAAGTAGATTTGGTTGTTGATTATATGGATTGAAATAATAATACCTCTGGTTATAGGCAGTGAAGGGTTCATGGTGTAAGATAGGTATTTTTTCGACTTCGTGGTTTCCCTGAGTGACCATCCAAGGTCTTTGGCTCGCAAGTGGCTGCACCAAGCGACCAAAAGTGTCCCATATTGGTTGGTACATGTTAGCGTACGATAGATCACCAGGCAAGATGAACACGTCGTGATCCCATTTCGATACATGTTCCAATGTTGATTTAGTCCAATCAGTTGTCCCAAGGTCACCTAATTCATTTTTAATCAAGATTATCAACAGACAACCGAAAGAGTTTATTTGAGCGAAGAAACGTGTTATTACCGGACACGGCGAATTTGATGGGGAATTGAGAGGGAGGGGTCCTGAAACTGAACTCTTGAGTTGAACCTGGGCGTCCACATTTGTAATAGTAAACTGTATTGGGCTTTAATGGACCTATAACCACTTCATTAATTTGGCCGGATCGGTAAATCATCAAGTAGTGGTACGACGACGACGTTCCATTAGCCAAGCCTTCGTATTTTCCGGAGGCTGTGCCATAAACAACACTCGGGAATGGTATGATTGGGTCTTTTGTTATCCATGATATCCTCATTTTATCTGGCCCAACCAGAGATATATGCACCTGAAATTTTATATTTGTTAGTTAACACCACGAATTCAATAGTAAACCAATTTAGCAAAAGTTTTTAAAATGTAAACAAAAACATTAGATACAAACAAAAGAATAAAGGTAAAAATTAGGAAAGTAATAAAGCGTACAAGCAAAACCGATGAGTGACGAAAGGATCTTAACAAACAGAAGACAAAGTTGGTGAATTTGACGTGCTTTCATAGAACATATGTTAACATGTAAAAACGTCACATGGCACTTAGGTGAGGATCTCTGAATAATTTTTTTTTACATGTAAAAATATCCCCTCTAGATGATATAATGGGATATATCATTATTCATTAAAGTACAGCCCTATCTCAAATAAAATAAAATTTATAGAGGTCTTTTACATGTTTACATGTGTTAATTTGAGTTAGGGGTGTTTATGATATACTATCACATATCATTATCTAGAGGGGATGTTTCCTAAGCACAATTATTATTAGCTATATGCCAAGGGTTAAGTATAAATATATGGGTAATTAATGTAATTAATTATGTCAAGATTTTATTTTTATTTTTATGGAAGTGTGAAAATGCATGTCTTCAAAATGTCACCATACTTTTTTATTTTTGACACCCTCAAGGCCTCAAAATGTCTCCATTCAACGTTTTGTAATTAATAAAAGCTAAACAGTGCCCGTTTCAAATAACATGTGTGTACAGTTGTATATTGGTGTAAAATCACCCCTAATTATGGCAATTGCCATATGCTTCTGTGAAACAACATTGTAACACGAATAAGAAATTTAACAGATCTACTAACAATTATTCATTTATTCTTATGAAATTTGATCTTGAAAGAAATATCAGAAAATTATAAGGAAATACTATAGTTTCCAATACTTATGCCGAAGGTTCAAGGTTTTGTTAATATCCATGCTTATGTTTTGAAAAACTCACAGCTATCAAAAGTGTGAACGACATAAAGTCTTGAGACTTAGCTTGCCGTAACTAAATCCTAGTTTGATAACGATTTTACATAAATGATATATAGAATCCAATTTGTAAATAATACAAGAAAATAAAGATTTGAATGAAAATTACCTGTTCGGGGAACGTAGGATCATCTTCGTTTGTAGGATGGATCACTATATTTTTCCGAGTTCCCGGCCGATCATAAGACAAGACATTTCCGGCCAAAACTATAAGCACTATGGCTACTAAACCCCAAACCTTCACCATTCTAACGATGCCGGGGGAGAGATATAGAGAGAGGTAGGTCGAAGAAGAAACAAGAATAGAACAAGAATGAACGGACATGGTGTTATATAGTAATCTTTTTTCTTTCTTTTTCCGTTTTGGAATTTTTTAAAAAGTTGGGAAATGTATTTGACCAAAAAAAACTACTAGTAATTAAGAGGAAAAAAAAGTGTGCAAGCAATTGCAGATAATGCGAAAAGTCATATACATTTTCAAAACATACATGCATATAATTATGTATCCTTTGGGAGGATATCTAAAACTTTTTTTAACATTGGCACAAATGTAAAATTGATCTTTATATACATAATAAGTCATGTGTTCAAAAACCAAAGCTAGGAGATAGGTGTCTTGCTAGATTATGTAATCAAACAATGCTTTCCCTCTTATAACAAATGATTTCTTAATAGATTGTCTTTGAACTAAAAAAAAAAAAGAAGAGAGAAGAAAATAAATTTATTTTATCATATCCTGAAAATACGATGTCACAACATTTATTCCAATATATTTAAAATTATTCATTATTCTCTTAACTTGGTAAAATATAACAAATAATTAATAACTTTAAAAATAAGTAGATTTTCATATACACATATCACAAATCATATACAAAATATACACCAACCATAAATGAGTCTTATTAACACCTAGTATAGTATTATTTAATATTTGAATTATAATTAGCATATTTTTGCTTTGGAATTGTTTATGACGACTAAAATGGAGTACGTCATATATTTCCTCTACTCCATTAAATGAAATTATAGATTTATCATTTTTACAACTAATCCTCCAATAACATATGACGTAATAATATGCTTTGGGATAATCATCACATCTACATTTTCGGGGTTAAAATGTGAAATTTATTAATAGTCAGAAAACACACTATATAAAACGTTAGAAATTTGAAACATGGCTATGTCGTAACAAAGAGAGAAACAGAGTGGTACAGAGGAAAGAGCTTAGATAGTCAGAAAACACTTCTAAATTTCGGAGATGGGAAATCTAATATTATTAGTTATGAAAAGAAAAGATCGATACTATGAATTTTTTGGCTTCATTAGTAAATTTCGCCATCCACCAAAATTTTGTTATTTGGCTTCTTTTTTGTGTGTGTGTTTGATTCCAAAATAACAATCATATGTTACACAATTAACAATATAAGATTTATACATCAAGAAACATCATCACTTGAGATTAAAATGTAGGAGTGATTCTAATGAGAAGACCAGGGAAAAGATCATCGTGGTCATGTATATGAGGATTCCCTTCAACGATGTAAGGGTCTCCACACTTCTCACTTATCGTCTGCAACGTCTCTCCTTCTTTCACCTCATATATCTCATCGCATGCTGGCCGTCGATCAGAATATCCGGCGATCATCATCGTCGTCGTCGGCTGTTGTTTCTGCACGATCGCCGTTGAACCCTCCTCTGCTACGTGACAGAAGTTCATCAGCAGCATCATGGACGCAAACACAGCGCAGTACCAAGAGATCTTCTCTGCTACTACCATGGAAGAACTCTTACCCATTAATTCTGAAACTAAACCCTTAAGCTAGGGATCGTTTGTTTCTAAGAGAAAAATTTGGTGACTATACGAGAAGGGTTTTGTGTATATGTATTGGATTTGTGTATGGGATTAAGTTTGGTTATAAAAGATGATGTTGTTGGAGTTGGTGTGAATATTGGCGGGAGTTGAAACAGTTGATAGTTAATGTTTTAGGTTCTTTTTTGTGTTAGGTCAGTTGTCTTTGAATCCTTGCCATTCATCTTTTATATTACTAGACGTATACTCAAGTTTTTTAAGTTTAGATAATTAAGTTGACCAAATAAAATGGTTGTAAATCCTAATCCAATGACTAAACACCCGATTAAGAATAAGATTATTGCAAAGGCTTAGATTTATTAGAGAATCTATTATATGTGTTTGTTTTTTTTTTGTTCTTTTACATTACAATGTGATTTTCTTAAGTGTTGCTTCCTTCGAATCAACTACTATTAGCTAAAGATCACACATATGCCACACATGTTGCCCATATGGCCATAGCTCAATAAGGATAAAAGTAAGGCACGTGTTGCTAAGTAGCTTCTTTGGGCAATACTATATAGTATTTGATGTTATGTGTTGTGTAGTTTAATCTTATAGAATAAAAATATAGAAAGGATAAGATAGTGAGAGTGCAATGTACTATTGTGGGATAAAGAGCAAGGCTGGACTTCCATTTTGGTTCCTCTTCCAGCCTGTTCTTTACAATTCTCTTTATCTTTTTACACACATTTTTTGTATTTTCCCTAATTAACATTAAAATTATGCTTTAATAAAGTACAATTAACATCACTAAGAAACCTAATTACTTCTAATAATATATTCGGTACAAGAGCATACAAAAATTGAGACATGTTTCTAGAGTACCTGCAGATGTAGAAGTCCATTTGTTTATATAGAACTCGTTCTGACAAGTTTAAGAACTGTTCTTTCTTCTTCTTTTTTTTTTTGATAACAAAGAACTGTTCTTAAACTAAGTTGAAATTACATATTGCCAATGCCTACTACACATGTTGATTATACTATTTTTAATATCGACCGGCTCGTTTATTTTTTACTCGTCATGGTCTGTATGTCTTCGTGTCACGCCTCCACTTGCCCGTCACTCGTTTCTTTAGCCCTGGGCGTTCGGTTTAATCGGTTTATTCGGGTCGGGTTATTCGGTTATAGAGAAATTCGGTTTCTGAAAAATTTCACCGAATAGACCCGAATTAAATTTCGGTTCGGGTCGGTTCGGAAGTCGGGTTATTTGGGTCGGTTATTGGCAAAATATTAAATTCCGAAATTGAACCGAATTTTTTTTTCTTCGGTTTATTCGGTTTTAATTTCGGTTTGCATATTTACAAAAGAAAATTTTAATCTATTACAGATCTAAATCTTATAAAAAGCTCACTACAAATATAATAAAAAGCCCAACGACAATTAAAAAAAAGCCCAGCCCAATAAAATCTTAGGGTTTTCACAGAGATCCGAGCTGCCGCTTTGCGTCTCCGGTGATAGTGACGAAAATCTCCGACCGTCCTAGTTCAGCTTCAAGTGATGTGGCGTTGGATGAGAAAGATAAGTTTCACATATTCTCACTAAAACAAGGAAGAAAACATCTAAATCGGTCAAAATAATTACAAAGTCTAAGATCTACAATTCAAAAACATGAGGCTATGAAAAAAACAAGTAATACCAATAATTAAATTTGAAGACAAACCTCATGTAGGTAGTTACATCGAAAACGGACTGAGTTGAGGGAGACTTTCGGGTGTAGTTACCACTGTTAAGTGTAGATCAAAGCTTATGATTTAGAATAAACAAAAAAAATATAAAGAGAGCATGAGGAGAAAGATGAAAACGAAAAATATCAAATTGTAAAAGAGATTAGATGGAAGAAGAAGGATCGTGATGGAGAGAGGAGGCGTTTTTTTTTTTTAAGGATTGAGTTAATGAATTAGATCTAGGGTTTTAAGCTTTTATATCATATTGCACTTAACCGAATAAACCGATCGGTAATCGGATACCGAACCGAGAAAACCGAACTCCGAAATCTGAAATTAATTTTGCCGATCGGTTTATCACGCTTCTTTCTTTCACTGCCGAAAACCGAATGTTTCGGGTTAATCGGTTCGGTTTAATCGGGTTATACCGAATGCCCAGCGCTGCGTTTCTTCCTTTATCGTTGCTTCACTTATCGTCACTCGTTTCTCTTTTTGTTTATATAGTTGCAATCCTTTTAGTAATATACGTGCATGTTCATTATTTGCCATTCTACTTTTCTTACGATTTACAACTTTTCTAGTAACATCTCCTTTATTATTGATTAAACTTAAGATGATCGACAACAAAAAAAATTAGGATGAAAATCGTGCTTAAACTTGCTCTTTAATTACGACCAAAAAAAAAAAAAAAAAAAAAACTTGCTCTTTATGTGGTAGCTTCTTCAAAAAGGAGCTCTACCATCTAAGATTGAAAACAAAAGAAAATTCTAGTATCCAATATCCATAAGATTTACCATAAGAGATCACTTTTCTCATAATTCAAATAAATTAAATAAGCTTACAAGCGACACTTACTACTAAAAGTCTAAAACGGTAGTTAGTATAAATTACAATTGTTTTACCTTGATTATCTAATATATATTTTAATTTTTGTAGTTTGATCGTATTAAACTACGAATCAAAAAATTTTAAGATTTAAGTTGAGAATATAATAGTGTACATGCAATTAAAACATGCATCTTAAAAAAAGTTTAACAACTAAACCAATTACTAATGTGTATATGTTGAAGTTTTGTCGAAACGAATGTTTTGTAGTTATTTGCAACTAAAACATGCATCTTCATATATAAAAATGTTAAAAAACCAGTGGCTCTCATCTTATGCATAAGCATAACAAATGGGGGTGCTTGCTTCACCTAATGGAAAAGAAAATGATATTTTTTTTAAGTTAAAAGTCTGAAGGACAAATTATTGTTCCCCTACTAATAAACATACTTAACAATATCTTTTAAGTGATACTTTAATCATAAAACCAAACCCAATCAACCTATTTTGCGTACATCATTTCCCCACTTTCAAAGTATCAAAATTGATCATTACTATTAGATAGATTTTAATAATTCATCTCACACACATGATGATGATCAAAACTCAAAAGATTACATGAACCGTCCAAATATAGTTCCCAATTGGAAAAAATCTTAACAGAGACGACTCAAGTGGGTAAGATTATAATAAATCCCAAGTTGACAAAAGAGAAAAATCTCTCAAGTGGTTCTTCTTACAAGGAAGGAGGTATCAAACACGTTATGACTTTTTTTTTTTTTTTTTTTTTTGGTAAAACTCTCACACGGTCCGAAGTTTGACCCCATATATATAATTGAGTTTTCTTTTTTTCTGGTAGGGAAAAGAGCATTAATTTTTATTTTGTTAGAAAATGAAAAACCAACCCATATAATTAAAACAAATAATACTATATGTGAATCAATAAATTAAAAGAAAAAAAGAAAAAGGTGACACCACCATGACGACATTTTAAAATCAATCAAGAATTATGATCGTCGCAATAGTGCAATTTCATTACGTGTACATATGCAATTAGTTAACAACCACTAATTAGATTATAGTTCCAAACTTACATTTTAAATAAATAAATAATTAGAAAAAACTGAAAATTAAAAAAATATAAAAAAACCGTTAAATAAATTTTGAGCTATTTGAGCTTGCGTCGTCGTCGTCTCTCGTATTCGCCGCTGTTTCCTTCTCTCTCTCTCTCTCTCCTCAACGCTCTGTTTATATCTTTTTATTTTTCTCTTCCCAAAATTCCATAATCATCGATCACTGAGTCTTCTCTCTTCTTCCTTCTCTCAAGAACAGGTAAAACTCTCTCTCTCTCTCTCTCTCTCCTCTTCTCCTTCTTTTTCTCTCCTCTCTCTCTCTCTCTCTTCCCTGTAATCTGTTTCTCTCTCTTTACTAAACTTTTACATTTCTTGTTTTCATTTCTGCTTCTTTCTCTTTTTGGTTGCCGAGAGAAAAAGAAAAGGAAAAAAAAAACAGAGGAAGCTTCTTTTTCTTTCTCGGTGACCAGAATCGGTTCGTTTTGTTTTTTTTGTTTGTTCTTGTTTTCTAAATTTGTTTACCTTATAATTTAATCAATCTTATGTTTTGTTCTTGTGTTTTGTCTCTTTTACAGATTTGTCAACGAGCTATATAAGCTTGATCCGTAAAAATCTCACAAGATCTATATATCTCTAATGGCGGAAGAGCATGGATGTCAAACACCAGAAAGCAACCGTCTCTGTGTTAACAACTGTGGCTTCCTCGGCAGCTCCTCCACCATGAATCTTTGTTCAAACTGCTACGGCGATCTCTGCCTCAAACAACAACAACAATCATCCTCCTCCTCCTCCATCATCTCCACCGTCGACTCTTCTTCCTCTCTCTCCGTTTCTCCTCCTTCGTCGTCGTCATCATCGGAAGAGATCGCCTCCGTCTCTTCTTCTCCGACTCCGATCATCCCTCTTCTCCTTCATACTCCCTCACCCAAGCTTGAGAAAAAGCCGCCGCAGACGACGACGACGGAGCAGCAAAAGCCGAATCGGTGCACGACTTGTAGGAAACGGGTCGGGTTAACCGGATTCAAGTGCCGGTGCGGTACGATGTTCTGCGGTGCTCATAGGTACCCGGAGATACACGGATGCACTTACGATTTCAAATCGGCTGGTCGTGAAGAGATCGCTAAAGCGAATCCTTTGGTTAAAGCAGCCAAGCTTCAGAAGATTTGATCTCATCCGTTCGATGCGTTGACTTTTCTCCTCCGGTCTTAATCCAAGTTTCTACGCCTTTACGCGTATGGTGGTTTGGTTCCCTCCCGAGAAATTTACGGATGTGATTTGATCTCAGCCGTTCGATCATATCAATGGGTTTATAATTATTGTAAAACATTTTTATGTATTTTTTTTAAATGTCAAAAGGGACACGTGTCATGTTGTTTTAGGATGGAGACGCTTTCGCTTTCCTCTTCATCATCATCGTCCTTAATTTAAAAAAAAAAAAAAAATCTCAGAAAGAAATAAGATTATTCGCGTTGGCTTTATTTTATTTTATTTTATTTGTGTGGCTTTTTACGTGTACAAAGTTTTTTTTAATCCAGAAAAACCATAAAAAATTTAGATGGGTCTTCAAATTTATTTTTATACAGAACCGAAAAAAGAACAAAAAAAAAAGAAAAAGGAGAAAGAGATGTTTTAATATGGTATGTGTGATTTATAGATCGCACCTCTAAAACGATTTTGATCGACAGTGTGATGAAGCTCGAGGACTTTGGAAAGATAATTCATCAGCAATAACTGACATCTCGTCGTTGTTTCTATGCCACGACCAATGTGCTCGTTCGTGGTCTATGATCTTTAATCTCCCATGTCCAAAACTCGATTCACGGAATGCTGACAGAGGTGACTGAGGCTTATGGAACCTGTTTAATTAACCCACAAAATTTTACAATCAAAACAAAATGACTGATTAGGGTAAAACTTAGATTAGTAGTAAAATTATGGGAGGTGACATACCGTAAAGCAAGGCCTTCTAGGTTCCCTCCATCACCAATGGTTATGTACATTGGTCCACATGGATCGGCCTTCTTCTTGTATATCGGCTTCTGCATGCATCGTTCCATAATATTTGCAATTAATCAAGTAAAAAAGTCATTTATATATTATAAAACTTCTAATTTAAATAATGACTATATATATATATATTATTTTTTCTTTGATGAATGGTAACAATACGAAGTCTATTTATTTTGAGAAACAGGCATATATGCATATAAGTATGACAATTTACATGATTCGTAATATAGTAAACCACTATATTAATCATTTTATATAATCAAATATTCATTGCGTAAAAATATATTTAAGTTTTAGAAAAAGAATAATGGACAAGATTCACTTCATTTTAAGCCGTTGAATTAAAGAAAGGTTAATGAAGATGGGGAAGTACTTACGAAACGTTCATATGTATGAACGTGGCCGGCAAAAACGACATCTACTTGAGCACGATAGAGCAAACTCTCCAGGGCCTTTCTCATTTTCTCTCCAGAACCATAATGCGCCTTGTTTGTGCTGTACCATGGCGTGTGCATCACCACCACCAACCACGGTGTCTTTTTCCGGTCAACCTAGCTCCCCTCACACACGAGTAAATATAATACTTTTCAAGGTTTGTTTTACTTTTATAACATAATGATCACAGGTCAAATCCAGACTAGCTAGTCTTCTGGTAGTTTCTGATGGGTAAATTTCGCAATGACCTACTTTGATGTTACAAATAAAATAGTTGCAAATAAGTTAATTTATATCCCAACTAACTAGTTACCTTTTTTAAATCGGCATGGAGCCAATGATACTGATCAGAGTTGGAGTCAAAGGGGGTGTAAGAACCAAGCATAACCGTGTGGACGCCGGCTACATCAAAAGAATAGTAAAGATTGGATTTAGAGTGGCTCTCGGCGTGAGGCATTAGCCATCGCGCATTGTATGCCTTGAAGCTTATGTGTTCCTCTATCGGGAAAGACTCGATCTCGTGGTTTCCTTCAGTGACCATCCATGGGCGGGTGCTAGCCAGTGTCTCTAAAAGGCGGCCAAAGGAGTCCCAAAGTGGCTGGTGGGTGTCTGCGTAGGATAGGTCACCGGGAAGTAGGAAAACGTCGAAGTCCCGTTTCCTCATTTGATCTAATGTTCTTATCGTCCAATCGGTTTGGCCTAGGTCACCTTCAATAAACAGTTTTCCGTAAGTCCATAATAAGCCATTAGTGTTCAATTTCGGAATCACATTAATGTAATTGATTATATGATCGTTTAGAGAAAATTCTCAACTCATCCACACTACTAATATTTGAGTTAAAACCAATGCACGGACAATCAACAATATATTTATATAAAAAAAAAAAAAAGATGAGACGTAAGCTTCAGATTTTGGCGTATACTTAAAAACAATCAAACTCCAACGGGAAAGTTGTGAACATGTAACTTCCAGCACGGTTTGCATGATATTGCATATAAAGATTTTAGTCCAATTTTAAATCTTTTAATAAGCATGAAGTTTCAAATATTTCGTTATAGGTACAAATATTCTTATATATGGTCCGTCTCTAACAATTCATCATATGAGCTCATTCAAATGTGATTATAACATTTTCTGATTAAGATATCGGTCTGATCCCACCGATCATATGACTATGTATTATGTACCAATTGATCGATGAATGTCTAAATCCTTCTTTTTTTTTCTTTTCAAAAATCTAAAAAGAAATAGATGATTGACTAGTTTAGCCCGTCACAGACATGGTTAGACAGAGTATAACGGATCATTTTATAGAATCACACATAAAATGAGAAAATACTAATCTTCTTATAATATATTCGGGCTAACCCACTCCCTACCAAACAATTTTGAATTGAAAAGCCATGATTCGTCTAACTTTTCTTATTGATATTTCTATATCCATACATTTAAATTCATAGGAAGTTAGACCTTCTACGTTCCAAAGGGACATCCTATTTCCCTGTCTTAGAAAATCTTGACTCCCATAAAGATGCATAATGACAAAGCACTGAGAAAAGGAAGAGAGGACAGTTAAAGAAAGGACTATACCAGCTACCGCGAATTCGATCGGGAATTTGGATGGGGGAGTTTTGAAAGAGAATTCGTCACCGTGGCCTCCGCAACGGTAATAGTATTTGGTGTTTGGTTGAAGAGGACCAATCTTGACATGGTGGATCTTGCCAGAACTGTAGAAGAAGAATCTGTAAGAAGTAGATTCTCCGGCAGTTTTTTTGTCGTACTTTTTTGGATGTTTACCGTACTCCACCATCGATGCCACATGCTTGTCTTCCGTTATGTATGTTACTCTCATGTGGTCTTGACCCGCCAATGATACGTGCACCTATTCATGTATATAATATACGATCACTGTTAGCCTGTTTAAATTAATAAAGTAACTTTTTTTTTTCTGTCAACAAGAGAAACTAAATTTAGTGGTTAATGTTATGTCCTTTTATGGATACAAGAAATAGATATCACCGGCAATGCATTGGCAACAGAACCGGTACGTTTCAAATGTTTCGCAAGTCGAAAATGCAATGAAGACTAGGGCATTGAGAAATTGATGAACCTGTTGAGGATGGAATTTAGGACTCCCGTGAGAGACAATGAAGAGGGGACGAGGCGGCTGGCGTGTGAAGTTCGAATCATAGTTAGCTTGACATACCAACGGAGAGAAGGAAAAGAGAGTAAAGCTGATTAAGAGAGCAAATATTTTCATCTTTTTCATTTTGAAAGAGTAGATGTTGATGGAGATGAAAGGAGAAGAAGATGTGACCGATTGATCAAATATTGAAGAGATCGATGGATGTTTCATGTTTGTTTATACAACTCAAGTCACACAGTTTGTTTGTTGTTTATGTTTTTTTTTTAGTTTTTATTTTCTTTTAAATAACTTGTAGCTTTATACATCTTCCTACCGTTTATAAGAAAACAAATTAAATAAAGATTAGAAAGTTACTGAAAATTTTGAATAGTACAAAGAAGAAAAAGAAGACGATATATATCGTACGGCTGGTTTGGAACCATCCAACATAATGCATTGTACGATATATTAGACTTTGTCAGTTCTTTAATTTGTATGTTTTGAGTAGACTATTCTCAATGTTGAGAAATCCATTTGTGTGTACTAGAACGTTCTTATTGATTTGAATATGAAAGTGTGTATTAGACAAACATTCATTAATCCTATTTACGACTAAACCATGTCTAAACCAAAAGCACACAGTCCTTGAAGAGAAACACTCAATACATCCTTAAATGCAAAAAAATAGTTTCCGAAATAGTAAAATTTGTGATAAAAACGAATATCAGTAGTTCCTTTTTCTTTCTTTTTTCTTAATCTACCAGCGATCCAATGAACAGAAGAAGTCTATAATTTATTTTTTTTTGGTATATATGGTGATTTAGAGCTCATCATTGGTAGGACTTGAAGGCCAACATGACGATAGAGTGCTAAGACTCTCAAGCCAGACTTCATCAGCAAGAAGTGAGTTCGAGTCATTGTTTCTATGCCACGACCAATGTGCTCGTTTCCCGTCCATAACCTTCAATCTACCATGTCCAAAACTCGGTTCTCGAAATACCGATAACGGTGAAGGAGGCTTCTTAAACCTATAAATCAAATATACATTAAAAGAAGAAACTAAGTGCAAACCTATAAATCAAATATACATTAAAAGAAGAAACTGTAAATGCAGTATTGAATTTACCGATTTCATTTAAATGATCAAAACTATTAAAACAAAAACCTTTGGATTGGCCAGAAAGTATGAAACTGTATTATAGTAGATTTATAATGAAACTTACGATAAAGCAAGGCCTTCTCGGTTGCCTCCATCACCGATGGTAATGTATATGGGGCCACATGGGTCGGCCTTGTTGTTATATACACGTTTCTGCATTAATCACATTTCGACATATGAAGTCTTAAATAGTACAACAATTTAATGAATTAATGAAGTCTTAAATAGAAAACAAAATAAAGAGATTAACGAAGATTGAAGACTTACGAAACGTTCGTAGGCATGAACATGGCCAGAAAAGACTACGTCAACTCGAGCACCAAAGAGCAAAGACTCCATAGCTTCCCTCATGCTCTCTCCTTCACCTTTATGTGCCTCGTTCGTATTGTACCACGGGGCGTGCAGCAATACCACCACCCACGGCGTCGTTTTACGGTCAACCTTTTAACAACAAAAAGATAATCCCAATTGTCAAGAATTGTTGATAGAAATTTTGAGCTGTTACGTAACATTAATTTATAATTATGGGTTATTACAAAATAACCTTTGCTAGATCTGCCTTGAGCCATTGGTACTGATCAGACTCACAGTCAAAGTCGGTGTAAGAACCGAGCATAACCGTGTGTACACCGGCTACGTCAAAAGAGTAGTAGAGGTTGGAGTCAGAGAGGCTCTCGGTGTGAGGCATGAGCCACCGGGCATTGTATGACTTGAAGGTTGTATGTTCAATGATTGGGAAGAATTCAATCTCGTGGTTTCCTTCAGTAACCATCCAAGGACGATGGCTAGCGAGTGGCTCCACCAGGCGACCAAATGAGTCCCAAAGTGGCTGGTGAGTGTCAGCGTAGGAGAGGTCACCAGGAAGTAGAAAGACATCGTAGTCTTGACTCTTTATCTGAGCTAGTGTTGCTGCTGTCCATTCGGTTTGGCCTAGGTCGCCTTCAAAAACAAATCTTTCATTAAGACAGCATGAAAATTTGGTCTTTAACCGGTTGGAAATTGTACATATAGAAGAGGGTTGTCTGAGCATAATTAATAGAATCCAACCCAACTATGTCGTGGATTGAGTGTGTGCGTTAGGTTTAACTCAGCTATATCATAATCTATGGATGAAACTCAACCAACTTATATTGCTTTATGTATACGGTAACTAAAGTTCCTAAAGTCTACTGTTCACAAAAAGGAGGTTTTAAACTAAGAAAAGAGTCTTTCTACCTACGATGGCGAACTCGACAGGAAAGGTTGAAGGAGGAGTCTTAAAAGAAAATTCAGGACCGTTGCAACCACAACGGTAGTAGTAAGTGGTGTTGGGTTGGAGAGGTCCGATTTTGACGTGGTGGATTGTGCCGGATTTGTAGAAGAAGTATTTGTAAGAAGTGCATTCTCCGGTGGCTTTTCCGTCGTACTTTCCTGGTTGTTTACCGTATTCCACCACAGACTCCACATGCTTGTCTTCTGTTATGAATGTTACTCTCATGTGGTCCTTACCCGCCAATGATACGTGCACCTTTATCAAATATGATATATATGTAGATTAGTAAAAATAAATAAGCGATGACAGAATCAACCAAAAAAAGGGTTTATGTCATTATATTTAAGTAACATAGATAGATTTTAAGAACATATATATAATCAAGGAGAGAAAAAGAATCCATATCACTCAGTGAATACAAATACATACTGTACATATCACATTCCATAACAAACGAAATATGAAAAATATTAGGATTTAAGAATACAGGGAATTTAATTGAAAGAAAGAAATATAGAAAAAGAGAGTTAAATCAAAGAACCTGTTGCGGATCGGATTTGGAGCGGTCATGAGGGACGAAGACGATGGGGCGAGGTGGCTCGCGGATAAGTTCCGGCACATCAGCTTGAGATACAAACGGACAAAGGAACAAGAGAGTAAAACTAAGAAAGAGACCAAGAAGAAGTTTCATCTTAATGTTTTGGAAAAAAAGGTATAGTTGGTGAAGAAGAACGGATTAATATTGAAGAGATCGTTGGACGTTTTCAGGTGTGTTTATACTTTATACATATCGTTAGCCATAGCGTCAAGTTACTCCATTTCCTTTTTATTTATAATCCATAAAATATCTTATATACTTTTTTGTGAGTTTTGCTTGCAGCTTTCTTTATCTTTTCTAGCTTGTCTTTTTTTAACGAAGAACAATTATAAGTCAATGCTTGAATTATTCTTTTACTTCTAAGGTTTTCGTAACCTTAAAGAAGTATAGTACTGGACCCAAGAAGATAAATAAAGATGAGATGCTCTTTATACATGAAGATTTAAATATCGTGTCGTCCATGGATTCGTTTTATGTATGAAATATTTATGGATAGTGAAAATTATATATTCTGTAGCAATAATATCGCTGAGACAGTAATTAGCAGACATAATTAATTGGACTAATTTTGCAGAATAGAGAAGGTATCAACTACTATATAAGATTCCAAGTAAAGTAACTTTGCGTAGAAGATATAACATGAAACATATAAGTATATAACTATTAATTACAGAGTGTTAAGATTAGATAAGGATTATGAAATTCAAGGAAAACGTTGAGTAATACAAAAAGGAAAAAAAGGGTCCATTTGTAAAACGTACGTCGGTCAGTGAGTGAACCAGAGAGAGAGCAAGAAGAAGCCTCAGATACCTCAAACGAATCGTGTGGTATGATATGGTACCATCCTTCATAAGTCGTTGTCCTATGAGACTTTACTATACTGTCTTTTGTTGGTCGACATTAAATCTTAGCGTGGTGGAATTCGTGTTTCAACTCGCCACGCCACATAAGCTAGCTGATTATATTTGTTCATTATTTTTCATGAAATCACTCTAGGCAAAAAGAAAAAACAAATAATATCTTAATAATTTTTCATATGTTTCGTAATCAACGGCGAGAATATATAAATCCACAATGGATGGAGGCACGTGTCTAACGATGAACAAATGAGGAAGAAGAGAAAGAGTAAAACAAGTAATCCGATCATGAGACGTCAACGTGCGAATATGTAGAACATATCAACATATTACATATATGGATCATGTCATCATCTCTGGCCACGTTGCTTATATGGTCCTAACGAATATGCTTTATGGATCCTTTCTTCCTAATTACAGTACATATACAAAATTATATGACTAAATATGATTTATATGTGCTACGTCCTTTAGATAAGCCGTGTACGGACGCTCACCTTTATTTTTGGATACTGAAATCGAAATTAGCATATACCACAGTTTCACTCCACATATCCTTTTTCTTTTTTTTGGGACATCACACATATTACAAAGACATCAAGTTTCGAAGTTTCGAAGCATTAGAGACATCAAGTTTAGAGTTTAGACGCAACAAATATAATGACTAATAATGGGCTTGACTGGTGACATTTGTTTCATATCATCTGTGTTAGGCTATCTGTTAGTTTATTGGCCCATTAAACTCATCAGCCCAAAAACTAAATAACTACAAGCCTTAAGAGGAGATGTGTTTAAGTTAGTTAAGTTAAGCCCTTCCAAACGGTTTATATGTTTGGAAAGACGAATAAGTTTATCACTATTTAGTAATTATATATAACCATCAAAAGTTTGGTTGACTGATTTGAGTCTGATACAGCTATTTCATAATGACCAGATTGTCGGCATATCTTAGCCAAATAATACAGTGTAAAACTTACTTTTAGGTTTTGCTTCAATATATCAACAACAGTCACCACAAAAACTCTTTAGGTATTTAAAGACTCAATATTTACATATTTCGACGTTAATAAACCATAAATTATTAAAGCTGATATATAGGTAGAATCGTCTGAGCATACCAAACCAAACTTAATCGTTAAAACCAATCAAAACATATAAAGTAATTTAAAATTAGAAAGAAAAATATCACTTTTTTCTACAGGTTTTGACATGAATTAAAATGAATTTTCCTAGAACATATAGGTTTCCACCATCTACCTTGCAAGTACTTTGTAAACTTCAATATGTTTACCTACTTAGAACATACGGACCACACAACTTGCATTCATCAGTACCCCAATTTTTCAAAGTATTTTTCTGACTCGAATGGTTTTTACAACAACAACAACAACAACAACAAAAAATGTTCATACACATAAATGGTGTCTTTTCATAAGGTGATTGTAAATATATTTTGTTTAAGGTGTCGTCGAAATTTTCTCTTTAAAGTCTGGAATAGAGATTGATAGGTGATGTCGCCGCACCATATTCGTAAATCACATGTCTTTAAAGATATCTAATAGTGGAGTTCACCACTTTAGCTTAAATGATTACATTTTATATACATATACATAAATAATTTAATTAAACAGGTGAATATAAACAAACAGATTAATAGGTTTGTCCAAAGAAAAAAGAAAAGAAAAGATCATCCGCTCAAAAGATATATATGAAATATGAAAAATCCTGAAATTGGTAGGGCATAAAGGTTTTAATGTCATCCGTTCAAAAAGCAGAGAGATCGGGTCCCCATTCTAAGTTTCCTCAATTTCATATGCATTCACTAACCTATCTATATATGTGCAGAGTGGCATATGTCAGCCTCTCTACATATATTCTAGATCCTCTTCTCTCATTCATTCCAATCACAGAGCTGATATTTTCAGCAAAAAATATTCTTTACCAGTTTCTATAAAGAAACAAAAAGAAAGCATTGAGAAATGGGTTTGCATTTTAGGGAAAAAGCATGGATTCTTCTGGCAATTCTGTGTTTTTCATCATTGGTTTACTCAACTGAAGCAGTGGTCACTTATGATCAGAAATCTTTAATCATCAATGGACAGAGAAGGATCCTTCTCTCTGGCTCTATTCACTATCCAAGAAGCACTCCTGAGGTACATAATCTTTAATTATTAACTAATCACATAAACACAGTTACTTTTCGTATCTTTGTTAGGTACATGCAAACTTTTTTGGTTATCAGTAACATTTCTTCTAGAATATCTGAATGATTGCTTTGATTTTTTTAACATAAGCTTTTGTTTTTGTAATCTGCTTAATTATAGTCTTGCATAGAATTAAGTATAAAGTAAAAACTTGTGAATGTTATGTTCTATGCAGATGTGGCCTGATCTTTTACGGAAGGCCAAAGAAGGAGGTTTGGATGTTATACAAACTTATGTTTTCTGGAATGGACATGAACCTTCTCCTGGAAATGTAAATTTCAGGAATTAAACAATTGTCTTATAACTTGAGTCCTAAGTCATACAAAATCTAAATCTTCTATATTTTGTGTTTGCTTCAGTATTACTTTGAGGATAGATTTGACCTGGTTAAGTTCACAAAGCTGGTGCACCAAGCTGGTCTATATCTTGATCTAAGAATTGGTCCATACGTTTGTGCTGAGTGGAATTTTGGGTAAATATAATAATGAACAAAAGTTATGTATTCTAAAATACTATTTTCTTTCTAATATATGACACTATAAATTTGTAAATGATTTATGATTTTTTCAGGGGATTTCCGGTTTGGCTCAAATATGTCCCTGGTATAGTTTTCAGAACAGACAATGGACCTTTCAAGGTATATATATAATTGTACAAATAATAAATTCCCATGTCTACGTTTTCAGTTTCTAATTTTTACAATTGTAACTTGATGTGATAAAACTGAAAAGATTGCAATGCAAAAATTCACAAAGAAGATTGTGGATATGATGAAAGCAGAAAAGCTGTTTCAGACTCAAGGAGGTCCCATCATTCTCTCACAGGTTTGTGTCTTTCTTTGCCTAGTTGTTTTGAATTTGATAGTTTGATACAAAAACCATAAATGGTGTGTGAATGTAAAAAAACAAATGGACAGATAGAGAATGAGTATGGACCAATGCAATGGGAGATGGGAGCACCAGGAAAGGCATACTCAAAATGGACAGCTGAAATGGCATTGGGATTGTCCACTGGTGTCCCATGGATTATGTGCAAGCAAGAGGATGCTCCTTACCCCATTGTATATTTCTTATTTTACCCCCTTGATTACGATGTTCCATTTTGGTTTTGGTTAATATATATTGGCTGGCTTTAGATAGCGTCCTAATTTAATTTAGTGATAAAATTTAATTTTGTATGGTTGAGTTTGGTAGAGTTTCTAATTTAGTTTGCATTTGTGCTTTTCGGTAACCTATTAATTTTGATTCCATTAATTTAGGTTTAATTATCAGTTTAATTTTTAGTTGGGGGTTAGACTTATATCCTTATCCGGATAGAATCATACATACATTATTAGTAGACATAACTTTTCTTCTGTCGGCAATTAGATATTCTTTGAGCGAAAGAAGATATTTGTAAGAAGAGTATATATTATTTTATTTTTATTTTGTCATTTTTGTGTGTTTATAATCTGAAGATCATTACTTCTTTCCTTGGTGGGTTAAACTTTTGAATTTTTCTTTGTAAGTTGTCTTATCCCTTGTATAGTTTACAATGAAGTATCATTTTCCCCGTTGATTTGCTTGTCTTTGATGTCTTTTTCAATTTATATAGCATGTGGCCACCGGCCAAAAAACAAAAAGAATCTATGGGGACAATTTTTTCTTCAACTTGTTAATAACTTTCAAAGTTTTTACCATATTTATTCTACGTGGGAGTAAAAATTCATATGTAACAGATAGACACATGCAATGGATTTTATTGTGAGGGTTTCAAACCAAACTCAGACAAAAAGCCGAAGTTGTGGACAGAGAACTGGACTGGTTGGTATGTCACGTACATAGCTATTCTAACTTTTTTTTGGTTTATTTTATATATTAATCTTTCATATTATAGAGAGTAATATATGTATGTGTGTGATGATTTTATCAGGTTCACGGAATTTGGAGGTCCGATACCAAACAGACCAGTCGAAGACATTGCGTTCTCCGTAGCTCGTTTCATACATAACGGTGGTTCTCTAATGAATTATTATATGGTAAATTTAATCATTTCTATTAAATAGAAAAAATAGGATACAATTAATTTGTGGTTTTAAGAGTGAAATAAGAGAATGCTGTCACAGTATTATGGAGGGACCAACTTTGATAGA